ACTTAACACCTAAGTGCAGTGTTTCACTCTCATTTTTAGTAATAATGATGGCACTACATGATGAGCTGTCAACTTAGGTGCCATCTTCACTCCTTTGTAGCCTGGGCATCTTTCATATAATTGTAGAATGTGATTCCACTTAGCAGTACATTCCTTTCCATTCATGTTATATTTTAAATTTTTTGTTAACAAATTATACCTGATCCCTTTTATTAAATGAAGTGGGTCATAGAGTGAAAATACTTTTTGTCTCCAACTTCAAAAAATCCTTCTGTATAGTGCTGCCCTCTTCTCAAATACATTTCGTTAGTCTCTTTTGACAACAAGTTTATAGCAGCAATATTTGATGTAGCTTGGTCACATACTGCTGCTACCACCATAAGACCAGTTTCTGCAATTTTAATAATCATATTCTTTATTTAAGCTTTAAGTTCCAAAGCTTTAAGCTTTAAGTTCTTGTACTACCACAAAAATAATAGGCCAGTGGCTGTTTATATTTTTTAACAATGCCTCTAATTAAGAAAACAAGTACATGGTTACTGTACTATTTGCTTCATTGCTCCATTATCAACAAATCCTGTGATAATTTTTTTTTTATTAAAGCTGATGCTTTAATACCAATAATAAATACCACCAATAAATGGCAATAGCACCATTGCCATTTCATCAAATACCAAGGTGCAGTATTTAAATTTATCTGGCATTCTCCTAACTCTGGATTTGAGTTTGTCAAATAAAATTTCATTTATGCCTGCCTTTAACTGGACTTTATACAACAAAGTCTGCAATGTTTGTCTACTAGGTAAAATACAAAATTTTCTTAACAGACTATACGCCTTAGGTGCAGGTTTGTATAATGATAGCGCTACAATCTTTTCATCAATGGTAAATCGATGCCCTTGCTTTTTCTTATTTCCATGTGACATTTGCATTCGGCAAAATAATTTTGCAGTAGGTGACATATTTTTGGAAATTATTTGGAAAGCAGAGGTTTCATTAAAGATTTAGCAAGAGCCAATTTTTGTTTAAAGCTCCTTTTTTGAGCTTCTCATTTTTTCAATTTATTCACAATTATTTTATATTGTTTATGGTCTTTTAGAGAAACACCTGCAACAAATTTCATGAAATGTAAATTAAAGCCTCAAAAATAAATAGTTTCTTTTTTTGCATTACACACTGTACAAAAATATTCAGTTTTGTAATAAAATCATCTAGACTATGTCTTTTTTCAGATTTGCTGATTGTTTCCAATTTCATGCAGCAATTTTCAAATTGGATAATTGAGATATATTTTTGCAAAACATACCTTTTAATTTTCTTGGCAACTGTTGTTTGACAACAGGTGTTTGTGTCTTTCCAAGGTTTGTATGCTGACCTGGAAATAATAACAAATAAAGTTATTTCGTGGATATCATTGGCTTATCAGTCTCTGGCTCAAAATATTAAAGATTGGCCTATGTTACAGAACATAGATTTGCAATTTTGAACAAAGGGACATTCAATTTTTGTATAACTATATGTCGACTCATGAATTTTCCTTTATATAAAAAATAATATTATATTTAAGATGATTATTTAACTATTTTAATTTTCATCAGAAAAACGTTTACCCACCTGATGTACTGGCATGTAGTTGAGAAGGTACAAAATGTGAGCTACGTGGCAAATCCGCACTTGCAACTATGTGAGGTTCTCCAGTTGATTGCGCTGAACATGTAGAAAAAAACATTTTATAATATTTTATTTTATAATAAACATTAAAAATTAACATGGAAATTAGGAGCATTATTTGAACAATGGTATAAGAAACTAGCTTTCGCCCACAAGGTTTTATATTGTACATATAAACCTTCCTCTTGTACCACTCTATATATTGATGAAAACCACATTAAAATACATAATGTTTTTTATAAGAACTCAGCTTATAGAAAACGTATTTGTTTTCTACTATTTCATTTTTACTTTAAACTTTTTATAGTTTGAAAAATTATTCACTGGTCATTGTTAATCACATATGAATGAATTTTAATGCATAGCCTGCTGCTTCCATCTTTAAATAGATAGGTAGACATTCAATATGCAGTATTATTTATAAATAATAAATTACCTGACATATGAAGTGTAGGCATTGCTATGTTGCAGTCTATTATTGGGATATTTATAAATATCTAGAAAATGTTTTCCACAAATATGCATGTTATTATATATTTTGATTGGATCCAGATGAGTTATTTCTCCACCAACATTGTCTAGCCATTTTTTAAATTTCTCTGTTTTAGTTCTAGGTTCAGGAAACCGGTGCAAAGGGATACTTGAGTAACATAATAATATGTATTATTCTCTGCTATTCACACAACAAATTATTAGTCCTTAATTATTTGTATAATGGATGAACAAATAACATTTCTTAAATTGTAGGCACATAATAAGTTTTTTAATGAATATTGTATTCTACGATAGCTCAAAGAAAAATACCTGAACAACATTTGAATTATGAAACTCCACGTATAGGTATAAAAATCGGTTGAAAACTTTGTCATTATAGTACAATTCATAAAGTATTTATTGTACAAACTAAAAAGCACTTACCGCTATCCTTAGTAACTGAACATTAAAGTACACAACAACGGTTTTGAGCCATGATTTTTTGAGCAAAGTTCAAATTAAAAACAAGTAACATTTCGGTACGGGATATTTCAAGACACAATACGATTGCTAACACAATATATTTCGATTACACGGACGAACTTAATCAACTCAACGTGAAAAGCAGAAAAAGTTACAGGAACTTGCAAAAACTAACAAGCACCCGGACATTCACTCAATACATTTTCAATAAGCGAAGTTAGTTTTAAAGTTTACCCACAATACCAAACCATTACATACGCGCCATTTTCAATTGATATTGCCATAGTATATTTAATATTACCACTTAAATTAGAAACATTTCTAGTGACAATTCTATAATTACTATATTATTCTGTAACAAGATATATTATTTCAATAATATTAAGTATCATAAGGCTTTTTAACTAAGTTTCAAGTAATAATAAACAAGATTTATTAATGATGCCTTTAAAAATTATCCCCAATTATAAACACATTTATTTATTGTGGCTACACCATGATTTCTATTTTAAAAGCTGGTACATAGATGGCACTGTAAAGTAAAAAAAAATCGAGTTCTAAGTTTGCATAGCATGATCCCTACTGTCGCCGAGACGATATATGCCTATGTAACACAAGTAGTTACAACAGTGTTGACGTGATTCATTGGCGCATAGCGCCATCTAGTAATGCGTAGACGAACTGCGCCGCTGCGCACCGTAACACTTCGCAAGTTCCTATTACTACGATATGTTGTTTGGGCAAATAATTTAATAAAAGCTTTTCATTTAAGATGCAGTTGAGTTGTTTACTAAGAATCCCACGATGCCTGCCGAGTTGCAGAGCTTGCCTTACGACATCGATAGCGTGATGCACTTCGGAGAGCGCGATTACAGCAAAAACGGTCACAGGACCATAATTTTTAAGGTATACATTTCAACTGCATATAACTTCAACAGTCTTTAGCCGAGTAGAAATAATTGCTTTAGTCAAATCAATAACTTAAGAAAGTATATTCTAATTGAAATATGCTTAAAAATCCACTTTGTCCCTTTCACTCGGATATGGGACTCGAACCCGTGACCTTTCGCAATGTAGATGACTGCTCTAACAGACTGAGCTACTCGGGATCTAAGAGGACTGACGAATTTCAAGTACTTGTTACTTTTTCACTACTACAGAGTGTTAATATTAATTTAAAAAAGCCATAAAACAAATATTTCGGCAAATGAACACGTATACTTGCCTTAAAATTAAATCAAAATTTTAACTTTATTTTATACCTGCGAAAACCCTATCCGTCATATTCATGACGTCATTTGGGTTAGTTGCACAAACGTCCATTGAGATTTAATGTCGCCTTGAAGCTCTAATAAATGCCAAATTTGTATTGGTAATGTCGCTTTAAACTTATGAGAATTTCAATGGACATTTGTGCAACTGGTTAATTGAGCCGAAGATTAAAAGATATCAATAAAACAAGAACAACGACATCCAACGATCGATTTCGAAATAAAAAAATATTTTAATAAGCCAAGAACAGCGCCATCTAGGAATTTGATTTATGATTATTAAGTATATCTTTGTCTAACCTGACAGTCGCCACAGTGACGTCACAGAATGGCGGTCGCGTTTCAAGTCACGTGACACACAGACACTTAAAATGGCTATTAATTGTGCGATTTTAATACTCAAAATCAGAATCTCTTTGTTTATTACGATGTAAATTTTAGTTTTCGTGCAATTTCTTGACTGATTGTTTACTACCGAAACTACCCTATTATTTTTCTCGACTATAATAAAAGTGTAAAAAGTGCAATAACTACAAGGTAACAGGAGATCGACGGGCCTTCAGCTGGGAGGGCCGCTTTATCAGCAAGGTCTATAAGAACGGGAGCAGCGTAACATTTGTTATTGCAGTGTTAATTAAAATGTACTAAAACGCCACAGGACCCCAGCTGGAAAAGGCCCCTTCTCAGAACGGACTATAAGAATAAGAGCATCCAAACATTTGCTAATATAGTATTTAGTAAAATGTCAGCTCAGCTGGAAGGGGCCCCTTGTCAGAGTGGGCTATATAAATATAAGAGCAGCCTAATATGTGTTGTTATAGTATTTAATAATGTGTTCTGAAATTCCTCGGGCCTCGGCTGCAAGGGTTCACCACATTTGATGTCGCTTCCTGTAGATGAAATATTTTTTAAGATCGGTTAAGGAATTTTCGTAGGCTAAACATACGTGGCAAATAAACAAACAATCAAAACTTACCTTTTAATAATATTAGTATAGATACTCAATTGGCACTTACGTTTTACTAGTTTTTCGACGGAAAATCCAAAAAGGCATACAAAGGATAGCGTTATACATTAAAATACATATTATTAGATAAATCTATGAAATTTCAGCAAAAATTCGGCACTTCGATTCGCCAGCACCGCTCATCACTTACAGCATTAGATTTGAAGAAAATAGATACCGTTTACGGCCCTGAATGTAGAACGAGAGATCGCCAGGAGAAAATAGAGCTATGCCAAAATTACCCTGGAGTAGTTAGAAGAAAAAGGGAGGTAGTCGAAGATTTAAACTTAAGAGTAAACAGAGACATAACACCGCCTACAGCTGAACCAGTTAGTGACGATATAAAAAAATTAGAGATCGAAAACGAAATGCAAGAAGCTGTCGATCGAATATACAAAGTTTCGGCTAAAGCTCTAAAAACTGCAAGAGATATTTATTGCAACAAAACGACAGACAATCCCAAACTATCTAACGATAGTAGCCAAAACCCGGATTTAGTTAGCATCATAGGATCTATAACGGAGTACGTTAAACACGTGGTAGATAAAGCTACTGATAATTTGGGTGAATTCTGCAAAGCATCTGAGAGTATGGAGGTATACCAAAGGGCATTTTTACAGAAATGTGAATTCTATCATGGGCGCCCTTGTCCGCAAACTTATAGATCAACAAAATCTGGTGCAGTAAAATATAGTACTCAACATAGACCTATTTTATATCAACATACTAAGCATAGGGGTAATTATAAATACAAAGCGTTCGTCAATATGCGAGCTTCGGAAGACCCTCATGATAATTCCACCGTTAAGAATGTGGAACGTCAAGGCAAATTAGATGAAAATGCTACAATCATACTTGATGCAGTAAAAAATAATGATGACGTTAAAAATAATACAGATGCTACAAATAGTGATGTTACTGTGGGCCAACAATCGGAACAGGACAACAAACAATCGGAACAGGAGATTAATCGAGACAGACAGAAACGTGACACCAAGATCGTCGTGTTGAAAAACAGTGGGGAATTAAATGAGAAAGTGAAAGATTTTGTGAAAAATCACGATGTTGATAAAGTACAGTCGAGGAGAGCCACCGTGTTGCCAAAAAGACAATCTAAACGGGCGCGAAGGCGGAGATTCCAGTAAGTAAATTTTGTCTGTGGTAGAAATAAAGAAACTTATAAAAATTTTCTCTTAGTTTTCTTAATGGCAATTTACACCTTTTGTCTATGAATTTATTGATGATATAAATTAGGTTATAAATATTCCCGAATAGTTGTCATAAGAAGGTGAATTAATATATATTAGAAGTTACACAAAAGTTTTAGTGTAACTTCTAATCAAAAGCGTCAGATTTGTGGAACCTTTTCTCCTCGCATGAAAATCAATCGCAATGTTAAAATTTAAAATTTATTAAATAACTGTAGTGACAAAAACAGTGCAACAGTTTTGACGCCAAAAAACTTTTCTTAGGAATCAACCTAAATTATTAGACATCATATCAACAGTTGAAAGGAAATTTTGAGATCTTCAAAGTTTTCAAGATTCGTTACCGAAAAAATATTATTGAATAGATTTTAACTATGTTACTTTAGGAGACAAAAATGCATTAAAGTGGAAACAATATAGCGTGATTAATTCCTGAGAAAAGTTTCTTGGCATCAATCCGTGACATTCTATTCTCACTTCAAAGCATGAAATTTAAAATAAAGTGCATTATCGACCAATAACTAATCCATTTATCGTTTATCATGTATTTTATTTTAGAATTTATACTAGTTATATGAATAATGCCACAGATCTGACTCTACAATACTTTTCTGAGGAACATCTACGAGGAACATGTATAAAGCATATGAAAGTTAAAAATAAGAATAGGTACTGATATGAAATAAATACTTACGAACGAAATGAGTTAGGTAACACAGCGCAAAGGTGGAGTTAATAAGTTCAATTCGCAGTTTTAATGTTTAGACTTTAAAAAAGCGCAGACCAATTTGTCGAACTGAATAAAAGAGCTAGATCATTAGATTCTCAAACCTTCGATATTGGAATTTCAATCATTAGACATAACAAAATCCACTATCAGATCAGAAAAAATGCTATTTTAGTCCCACCAGATCGTCAAGAGAGCACGTTTGGGAAGATTCGAATGTGTCTATAGAAAAAAGTACGACGAAGAAAAAACGTCATAGACAACATCTAACAGAAAAGAGTAGAGAAGAAAATAATGAAAAAAGGGAGAAACGATATAAGAAGAAGAGGTAACACATTCTTTCTATCTACATTTTTATAAATAGTTTAAAAATAACGTAATAAAATTGTATGTGTTTAGATTGCTTTATTATTATCTTATTAAATTTGGTCTTAATACGAAAGTATTATATTTAAGAAAAAAAAAGGAAGCACTAAAAAGCACTTCACTAGATAGCGACTCTAGCAAAAGTTGATTTTTACAGGAAACGAATGGACCAAAGATAGTCATTTCCGTTCCTTTTAACTAGCACATAAAAAAACTGAAATTTGCAAAGTTCGAAACTTAGATATTAATACAAATACGAAAAAGTACAAATAGAATATTATTATTACTGAGTTTTGAAGATTAATTTACTTTTATACATGAAAGAAAACCGGGTTGTCATGGAGAAATTAGAAAGTACCGTAGCGACATCTAGTTTGATTTCTGGAACTAAAGTTTTTTTTAAATATTTTCTCATTTTTAAATTCTTCGTTATTCAATCAGAATAACTGATTTAACCTTAGGTAAAAATCAGGTAAAAATCACTGCACTAGCTAGATCAGCTCGAGATTAGACTAGAAAGATGCAATAGCCTGTATGTTTTAAGACGTCATTATCAAAAGCAGGTTTATTATAAAGGTTCTATTACAGACCTCAGAGGCAACGTCCAATATCTGAAGTACGCAATGTAGAGAAGACTAGAAGTAGAATTTTCCACCGAGTGGTGGAGTTGTCAAAACTGAACGAAGAATTCTACGGCGAGAGGAAATGGCCTGACGGTGTCGTGCGTTACATCATACAGGAAGATCCGAACTGTGAGTTAACACGTTTTCAAATCGAAGTAAATGCATTAGTTAAATACGTACGCAACACACATACAAACAAACACTGACAGTACCTCCAGATCACAAAAGTACAGTATTGTCAGCTAAAAATACACAAGTTTCTATAGATAATACCTACAGCAGATATTAAAGTCTGTTAGCGGCCATCCATAAATTACGTTACACGTTAGGAGGGGGGGTCAACGAATTGTGACATTAGAACAATATTTAGTAGAATTTGTATAGACAAACATGTGACAGAAGGGGGGGGGGGGGGTTAAAAATCATGAATTTTGTGTGACGTAATTTATGGACTGCCCCTTACAGTAAAATACGGGAAAACCTAATTTAAATAATGAATCAAAAAATATGCTAGTTTAATATTTATTTATAAACACATATTACTGTTAATTATTCTAGAACGATTTGTTTCATGATTTTCATAGTTTTTGGGGTCATCCTTAAAATTATATTACACTAACTTTTGCCCGCGACTTCGTACGCGTGGTAAAGTTACTTTGACCAGCATTTCTAACGAATATTTATTCAATATATCGTGTGAAATAAAGTTCCATCCCCTATTTTATGCCCTTGGAGGTAGAATTGACCAAAATCCTTCTTAGGGAATACCTACGTCATAGTAGCTTTATGCATGCAAAGTCTCAGCCCGATCGGTTTAAAATTGACTAAGTTCCATACAAACTTTCATCCCCTATTTTATCCCCTTAGGGGTAGGATTGATCAAAATCCTTCCTTAACGGATGCCTACTACATAACATCTAGCTGCATGCCAAATTTCAGCTCGATCGGTCCAGTGGTTTGGGCTGTGCGTTGATAGATCACTATGTCAGTCAGTCACCTTTGAGTTATATATATTTAGATTCACCGAACTGAACGTAAGTCTTGTCTTTTTAGAATTCGCTGTTCACGTTTGTTTAACTTATTACAAACAGTTAATTTACCAACGGTCCCAAATAGGAACCTCATTTGTGTACCGATCAAAAAAGTTGGCTGTAGTTAATACCCTCCAATCCGCAATCACCGTGAAGGGGCATGGCCCATCCTCTTTAACCATTCCTAAAGAAGGCCTGAGCTCTTGCAGTGGGGAATTATAAAGGCTGATGGTATTAGATGATGACGAAATAATATCAAAAATAAATTCGGTACTATAGAAGTATCAAGAACGTTATAGCGCATGCTAATCAGTTTTATAATAATGTTGTAAGCCTTATATAGGCCCTAGTTTTACCACCGATTCGTTTCAAAAACATAACGTAAACGCTTTTTAATATTATAGTATTAAATCGCTCTGTTGATAAACAGCCTTAATGGTTACTATTAAGGATCTCTTTTACCGCTGTATAGTAACTGAAAGCCTTAGTTATTGAAAATAATATTACTTGGGCTAACCAGTCAGTTGCACAAACCAATTAGATTATTTTTAACGGTTTTTTAAACTAATGACATATTTAATTAGCAGTGTGTTTATGTTCCTAAAACCTTACGATTGAATTTTAGATTAGAATTGATTCTCAACCTATTAAGCTTTTCTTACAATGGTATAGTAAAGGTTTGGCAAGATAAGTATTTCGGTTGTGTGTAAGATGTTCACCTCATAAATTCAGAAAAAAATTGAAAAATGATACTTGTCTCAAAAGCGTCTTATTCAAGAAAATACTATTAAAATCGGGTGAAGGTTTTCTGTACGCCCAACTTCAATAGTATTTTGTTCAATAAGTCTCTTTTGCGATAAGTATTATTTTTTTTTTTAAAGTTTGACGTCTGTTCTATTTTTTTGAAGTTTTTAATTCATGCTTTTCCAAAAACCGCATCAAAGTCGGTTCACGTTCCCGACATAATCGCAGACAATAACATACAACAGTATTAAAGTGTGAACCTCCATTTTTTAGTCGGCTAATATGTCTAAAACTTACTCCTAAGACTGACACACAGCTTGAACTGAGAAGCTCCCCTTTCTCGAAAATTTAAGCATTTATTTTTAAGTTGTTTTACAACGTTTTTATATTGTTTCATAAAACAGATGACACTAGCGAGGTGCGAAGGCGTTTAGAAGAAGTGAACGCAATTCTGAAGAGGAAAACTTGCGTGCGAATCGAAGAAATTACCGAGAATGACGTGAAAAAGGATATGGACTATTTGGTTGTAGACACCAGCGCCGATTACGTCACAGGAAGAGTCGGCGGCAGACAGGTAAGTGAATAGTGGTTGACACTTTTCCTGTTCAACTGACTTATTTTATATTATAAGAAGTGGCGTAACTACAGGGTGGCAAGTCGGCAAAATGCCACGGGTCCCCAGCTGGAAGGGGCCCCCGGTCAGAAGAGACTCCTTACTCCTGACAATTATTTTTACGCTATTAGTAAAACAAATTGAATATCCGATGAATTTGCCACGGGCCTCAAACGGTATAGTTACGCCACTGATTATAAGTTCCGCCAGCCAGGGCCGGATTTAGGGGATGGGGCAAATGGTCGCACGTGCCCCGGGCGTCATAGTCAGGGGGCTGTTAAAATAATGATAATATAATACAGATAAAAAAAAAATCATAGGGCAAATGGGGGCATTAGCTCCGGGCGCCTGAGTCAGGGGGGGGCCAAAGAACAATGGTCAAAATGGACTACGAAAAAAAAAGTTCTTGTACCAAGATGGAATTATCACCAAAATGTAGTATAAGTTGAATGTAATTATTATATACTTACCAACAATTTATTTTTAAAAGCTGGGAAAGAAAAGATAATCCTCTCTAAAATATGTCTTTATTTTTTAGAACGCAGTTTAAATTCTGTTAATTTTGAACGAATCTTATTAATAATGAAATTCCTAGAGAAGTCCCTTTCTTTTCAAAGAACAGGATCGATTTTTTTTCTGACTAATCGAATTTGATACAAATCTTATATTTACTAACCATATAAATCCTAGAAAATTATAAAACTTAGATTAGATTACTTATATTATTAGATGTTACTTAGAGGAAAATAGTTTATTTATAATGAAATTGAAAACAAATGATTATTCATAAGAATCGATATTACAGTATTCAATCGATAGCGACCTCTCACTTTTAGACAAGTATGTGTAGACGTGTTTCTATGCAGACCGTTTTGTAACTTTGGCGGCGATTTTATATTATCTTCTGTATTTATGGGTAGCATACTAGGTTCCATGGGCAGTATATATATAGAATTGAGGTCTGGAGAGAAATACCGGATTCTCTGGATTTATTAGAATTAGACTTAAATATAAATAAAGTTCTAATTATAAGGGGTAGAATTAAGTCGAGAGATTATTAATGAAACAATATTATGTGTACCTACATTTTAAAGAATAATGACACATCCGGGTTAGATGGCATAAGAGAACACTGCTGTAATTGTCTTATTGGTCGATTTACACTGGGATGCTGTGCTCATATAATGACCATAGTATGGTATCTTGGATGGGCCAGACACGAACAGAATGTAGCTGCTCCTGCAGCATTCCGTGATGAGGTATTGATTAGAGTTGTAATAAAGAAAAGAAAAATCAACATGTTGTTTTGCTATATCCTTTTGAAATTAGTATTTTCACTACTACTTTATATAAGTTATGGTGTAAGATAGAAAAGTAGACTTATTGAGAGCAATCTTAAAAATTCTATTTTTTTTATGTTGTTATTGGTTCACAAAAAATGATTTTATTTCTTACAGTCAATAAAAATAATTTATCAGATATGGAGCAAGTTTGAAGTATTATGTGAAAGTATGCACTTCTAGGACTACGATTAGGCATTATCTGATGTGTGCTTTACATATTTCAACTGTAATACCTCTAACTCAAAATGCTACAGTTTAAATAATACGACATAACCTCAAAAACATATTACACAATTACTCGATACTCCCAGCTTTTAAAAATATATTTAATGTCTTTCTTTGTTCTAGTTGCATAAGCAAACAAAATAACATATGTTTCATCAAGTTACGTTTTATTCGATTTTACTAGTCCAAGCATGTTAGGCAGATGGCCATTGTTCTTTATGATTATATGATACAGTAAAAAAAAAATCATAGATTAAAGGTCAGTTGCACAAACGTTCGTTAAGATTTAATGACGACTTTAAGTCAAATTTGTATGGGTAATGTCACTTTAATCTAATGAGACGAACATATTTCAAAGTTATCATTATATAACACCAATTTACAGTAAAAAAAAGTCAGACCGTCAGTCATACAATATAAAAATTTAAACAAGAAGTGGCGGCTCTATACGTCACAGTTTTTTTGGAAATGTACAGAAGTGTGCAACTCAATCGGTGTAATTTATTGATGACGCAAAAAATTAAAAAATCCTTTTTAATATTTTTCAATTACCACCTGACGAACTTATAAACAAAAATTAGTTGTCATCGAAAGTTTCTGCCACGGTTAATCTTTATTCATTTGATTAATTCAATTAGTTAATCTTTGATTAATTAAGTTAATCTTTAATCTTTATTCAAATAGACTGCTTAAAAGTATTTTTAAAACATTCTTAATACAAAATGCTTAAAAAATCCACTTGGTACCTGGCACCCTGAGATGGCAATCGAACCCACGACCTAACAGGACTGACGAATCTTTCAAGCACTTGTTACTTTTCCCTACTACAGAGCGTATTCTCGTCAATGTTCAGGCATCCACCCAAACAGTTTTAGGAAGACACTATATTATAAGTATACTTACATATAAATAGGTATACATACAAAAGTATATACTTATATACACACATACATTATTAAACAAATCCATACATATAAAGATTATTAATGATTTAACGAATCCGCTCGTTCAATGAGATTATCGTAAATGAAAACAATTCACAGTTGACTGATAGTTACTTTCGAATTGTTTTTGGTTTATAATAAGTCTAGCTTTTGCCCACAACTTCGCCCACGTGGTCTAGTTTTAAGTCAAGAAATGAGAAAATTCCATAAAAACTTTAATTCCCTAATTTACCCCCTTAGGGGTCGAATTTCGTAAAATCCCATTTTGGTGAGCACCGACGTCCTAAAAAGAACCCGCATGCAAAACTTGAAATTCCTAGCACTTGTAGTAACGAAGTTTCATACAAACTTTCATCCATTCTAATTTAGGAATTTTCAAAAATCCTCTCTAAGTACCCTCATTCCAAATTTCAACTTTCTACGCTCAGTAGCTTCGGCTATACATTGTCTGTTAGTCAATCAGACACTCGGTAACGCAAATTTTTTTATTAGATATATATCGATTTATTCTCAACTTTATTTCATCGATGATATTTCAAAAGTTTGAGACATACTTCAATAAACTGAAATATCAAGCTTTATGAAACTCTTGCTCATTTTTATCACGAACTCTCGGTCTAAAAGCAGTTATTTTATTTGTTTGTTACCTATTCTCATAAAAAATAAATAAAGTCCATGGTTTTACGACTTCTTTTATGACCGTTTTATGACCATTTAGTATGTGTACTCTTTTCTGGAAATAACGCCAACGTTCTGCGGAGTCCATATCTATAGTACAATTACAATTTGTTTTTCGCACGTAACCTTGACATTGACATTGAAATAATCGGGGCGTCCGGCATCGGCACAAATTTACTTCCAAACATAATGAAAAGGAGATATAAATCTAAATGAAAGCATACCTTCAGTTTTATAAACAGAATTATTAACCAAATGTTATAAAAATATGTTTCTGCAATACCTAATAAAGAATTACGCGCCATTATTTGTATACGAATACGTGCCAAAAATGTTACGTTCATTATATAAGACAGGCTAACGACCAGACCGAATTTAGAAAGAGACAAATGTCGCAACAACCGCCGGTGTAAAAAGGATAGCGTTTTATTGATGTACGCGAGAATGAGATGGGACGAAAACATTGGTTTTGAGGGCGTAGGTGCGTAAAGGATGGAAGATACACGTGCTCGTGATGACGTGTATCACCCCAACTGGATGGGGACGAGATTAGTGTGGTCAGGTAAGAAAATTACCCATATTCACTGGGTAATATGACAAGAATATGTTCTATTTCGTTGTAAACAAAAATTTACTTTTAAGTTTTTTGTTATAGTATTTATATTATATATTTTTGATATAATATTGTTGGATATGGTGGTCACCCAAATAATCTCAGACTTGAATAGGTTTAAGCAGTCTAACATAAAGAAAAAATTGCTTTGAGACAATATTAATATAGAAAGAAAAGTAATTTATTGTTGGGTACACACAACAATATTTGTTTATGTGATTTTTTTACAACAAATTGTATAACAGAAGTAAACGGGTGTTATGTATGCTATGTTACGCTAACACTGGGCTTAACTCAGCATAAACAGCAGGCAAGGGTCAACTGCGCTGATATTCTGTTGAATCCATCCATGACACCATATATCATAAAATTGCAAAATATATTAGTAATTGAAAACATTAATGGCCATTTTCCGCGCAGATCTCTATCTCTATGGCCGTTGCTATGGTTACGCGCTGATTCGGAACTGTACTATCGTTTTGGTTTAACTTGCATTGCAGTATCATACTTTTCTTCCCATCAGTTTATAGGAGTTGGTATTATTATTTTTTTGTCTACGTCATTCGTTTCTGTCTGTTTTTATTATTAAATCCTCACTTGTCATTCACGTATCAGAGGAAAATATATTCATATTACTGGCAACCCTGTTCAAGAATGTTCTACAGTGCTCGCGCATCGATTGGCTAGAAGTTACGCGCTCTAGAAATTTCGACCTCCCCATTGGCCGAAGGTATTTAAGCAGTGAACGCGCGTCGCTCGGTTAGTTTAAAAACTTCAAGGTCGACGTGTGAATTAGATCGATCTGTTTTCGTCGGGTTTGTTTGTTTCGCGATAAATCGGACAGTGAATTAGTGTTAACAATGGTCGCTATCGGCATCGATTTGGGCACCACGTATTCATGTGTTGCTGTTTGGAAAGCAGGTAATGTAGAGGTATTAGCGAACGAGCAAGGTAATAAAACGACGCCGTCTTACGTCGCATTTACCGCGGCAGATCGGTTAGTCGGCGAAGCGGCGAAGAGTCAGGCGCCGTTTAATCCCGGCAACACGATTTTTGGCGCGAAAAGGCTGATCGGACGCCGGTACGATGACGTAGGCGTCCAAATGGACTTGCGTCGTTGGCCATTTCGAGTCGTTAATGAAAATGGTAAGCCTTTGATATTTGTAGAATATAAGGGTGAGAAAAAGAAGTTCGCGCCAGAAGAAATAAGTAGTATGGTTATTTTCAGGATGAAACAACTGGCTGAGGCACATTTGGGTGTCAAGGTTGATCAAGCAGTGATTACTGTTCCCGCTTATTTCAACAATGCGCAGAGGCAAGCTACCAAGGCAGCAGCAACTATAGCGGGGCTGAAAGTGTTAAAAATCATTAACGAGCCGACTGCCGCGGCTTTGGCGTACGGCTTGGATAAGAATTTGAAAGGAGAGAAGAATGTTTTGATATACGATCTCGGCGGCGGGACTTTCGATGTTTCCGTCTTGAGGATTAGCGAGGGATCCGTGTATGAAGTAAAATCTACGGCTTACAACACCCGGTTAGGAGGAGAAGACTTGGACAACAGATTGGTAGCATACTTCGCGGAGGATTTCAAGAATAAGTATCATACTGAAGTTTCTCGCAATCCTAAAGCGATGAGGAGGCTGAAAACAGCGTCTGAACGTGCGAAAAGGTTTCTAACAACTGCAACGGATGCGAATGTCTTCGTAGAGTCTCTTCACGACGGCATAGACTATCAGGGCCGTGTAAGCAGAGATCTATTTGAAGATCTATGCTCAGATCTCTTTACTGATACTCTGAAGCATGTGGAAAAAGCACTTAAAGACGCCAGAATTAATAAGAGCGATATAAACGATATAATCCTTATAGGAGGTAGTACGAGAATACCTAAGATCCAAACAATGCTGATCGAGTATTTCGATGGTCATCCGCTGACTACGGCTATTAATCCAGATGAAGCGGTAGCATTCGGTGCTGCTATACAAGCCGCTATGCTCAGTGGAGAACACCATGACAAGATCAAAGACCTGCTTCTAGTCGATGTGGTGCCATTGTCTTTAGGTGTGGAAACTGCAAGAGGGCTCATGTATAAGGTAATAGAGAGGAATACGACGATTCCCTGCAAGAATACCAAAGATCTCACCACCCAAGAGGATTACCAAAGGAGTATGACGATTGAAGTGTTCGAAGGTGAAAGGAGTCTGACCAAAGATAATAATTTGCTCGGTGTTTTCGATTTGAACGGCATACCTCCAGCTCCAAGAGGGGTAGCGAAAGTCGACGTTACTTTCGACGTGGATGTGAACGGAACTTTGAGTGTCACAGCACAGGACAGGAGCACTGGCAAATCTGAGGGTATAATCGTGAAGAAGGAGCGTAGAATGAATCAACGGGATATCGGAAAGATGATAGCTGATGCTGAGATTTTCAGGGAAGAAGATACAGAGAAGAAAAGATGTTTCGAAGCGAGGAATCAGTTGGAGAGCTACGTTTACAACGTGAAGCAAACTGTTCTGGAGAAAGGAGGTAAATTGTCTGAGAGAGAGAAGGAGATAATGTTGGAAGAGTGCAAGAGTGCTATTAGATGGTTGGAGGCTAACGGTGATTGTTTGAGGGAGGAATACGAGATGAAGATGACTGAATGGATGAGGAAATGGTCGGGGATTATGAAGAAATTGTACGATTGCAATTGGAGTCACAGGAATAAAAGGCAGAGAGGTGACAGCTATCGCTCAGAGTTAAGCGAGCAGGAGATCGCGATTATAGAAGAACTTCACTACGACTGAGGCAGAAAGAGATGAAACAGAATCGGGATGATATTTTGACAGTTTAATTAAAGGATATTCTTTATTGGAATTAGTTTTTGTTAAACCATTGTCTTATTTCAAAATGGTAGGGTAAATAAATAAATAGTTTTATAGTAGTATAAATAAAACTGTTTATATAACCTTTAATCTAGGCTGATAAATTTTGCCGGGCAATAATAGCATTTAGTATTTTCTCTGTAACAAAAATAACTATTGTTGGTTACAAAATTGTTATCTCGATTGTAGAGAAGAGAAAAATAAGATGTTTATTTTTGCAACCGACGTTTTAAGATGGTAGTTCGTAAATAAAACGGAAAGTTATAAATAAACGAATGTTCTAAAAACATCGGTACACAAAAAGAATGCTTGTAATATTAAATTTATGTAATAATAAATAAAAAGTTGGTCGATTTCTTAACGCGTTAAGTCGTTTAAAAAGCGGTTATAATGTTTTAATTATTAATCATAGTCTTGAGTCTTGATATCCGGTGTTGTAGATAGCCTAATTTTATTGTCCGCCTGTATATAGATAGGTATACAATATATCCCAATTTAGCACGCCCCAATTGACCTATTCATTTGTTAGTGCGCACAACTTCGTATCTAGAGCCGTAATTCTAATACATACATATGTCGAATGTCTTTCGCGGGATTTTATAGCCATGCGCATTGTGTTTGTGATTAAATATTATCGTAAGATTCAGATAGCGGCATTAAATGAAGCTAGAAAATATATCTATTAAACTATATTTATTTTTAAAAGACTGTAAATCCAGCTCGGCAATATTGATTTAAATATACCCGGACTCGCGTTTTCCCTAAACCGCAGAGCGATTCTCTAAAAATACGAAACCGAAATAGAAATTATATTGATTCCATTTTTTTTTTCATAAAAATATAAAAATTGATTGATCATACGTGTCTCGGATATACTATTTTTATCATTGCGAAAATCACTTCACTTATGCCACGAAACATCACCGATTCTAGGTTGAGCGGATGCCGTTTTTGAAGTGAATTCAGACACACGAGTGAATTCGGGTTCGGGTTTTTCCAGAATCGCAGGGCAGGGCAGAGACTTGGCAGTGCCCCTCGCACTTTTGCAATTATATGTATGATGTTTTTTCATTTTGTTTCCTTTAGGGACTTTAAACATTTCCATCCCATCGTAAATCAATGTGAAGTTCATTCTTTTTTTTTTTCATACATATTAAGAGTTGACGCTTAGAGCAAGACAATTAGGGGTCATTTGGCTTCGTAGATTTAGTACAGATGACCACGCGTGCTTGTAGACAATATTGTTTTATCGAGATTGAAGAAAATATATTTATTAACCTAATATATTTCCAATTCCCGTGATATATTATGTTTTATGAGGCACATACCTACATAAGTATTAAATATAGATTACAGACCTCGCGAGGTGTATGTTATTAAGAACACAGATGGGCAAAATGTAATCATAAATAACATTTTTTAATAACATTCATCCAGGATTGAAAATTACATGTGATTTTTTTTTATATTTATTCATTATATAACGAATCTTAAATTTATCAAATATGCCCTCTGAATAAGACTTTTGTATTCAATAGTTTATTAAAATGTTAAACATTTATAAAGTTTATAAATATTTTTGTAGTTGTAGTTAGCTTGTTTGTGGCGCCAATTGGTACAAAAATATTTTATATTTAGCTATTAGATATATAAAGCTTATACGCAATGTCGACGACACCCTTATGCCCGGTTGCTGACAAATGTATTTTTTTATTAGTATTCTTTCTGTTCTTAGGGCATACGACAATAGAATAATATTACAATTTTATTTCCATCGTGGGTGTTCAGACAGTGACTGAACAGATAAGTTGCTAATGATTGGTCGAGTGAAGTAATTACTTGTAATTACTTGAAGATATATCATAACTTAAACAGATATTTTTACTAATTGAGACTAGTTGACAACTTTTTTATTTTATAAATAAATAGTCCATTAATATCTGAGAAATAATGTAGAAGTAACGGCATGTCTGCGATTAATAGTTTCGGAGATATTGTGGTGTGTTTGTGGAACTGCTGCTGGTCGGCCGAAAGCGTTCTCTTTAAATCCAATGCACTGACGTCACAGTGCTATAGTAGCGAAAAACGTTTGGGCATCTGGCAATCTTTGTTATAGCTATTATAATGAAAGTTTTTACGTTTTATGTAACTAATTTAATGCTATAAGTGTTTAAACAAATTTTTGTAATATATTTTTCTTAGTTTTTTCAAGTAATATATTCCAAAATAGTGTAATAAAATTAATTTTGTTAAATATTTATAGGTAAATGAAAATGATTATAGAAACTTCTATTTTCACTTGTTTTGTTACAGGACACAAGCCTATTAGAATACTGTTATAGGACACAAGCCTATTAGAATACTGTTACAGGACACAAGCCTATTAGAATACTGTTACAGGACACAGGCCTATTAGAATACTGTTACAGGACACAAGCCTATTAGAATACTGTTACAGGACACAAGCCTATTAGAATACTATTGGTTAATACTAGTTCTCACTTCATTTAAATTGTTGTTTATTGGTTAAAAATATTTGCATTAGTTATGTATGACATATGCTCTCTGCTTTAATATTAGATGTAGTGTTTCAACTTCCTTTGGCGTAAGTCTACAGTGCGTATAAGCTCTTAGTAATTGATTACAATTTATACAATGTAATATTAAGATTATTTTATAATTATACCACCGGCTTTAGAATATGGAATCATCGAATCTGTGATATCTATCTACCTCAATAAATAAATAAAAAAATAATGATTATGTAAATTTTGCTTTTGAAAATTATGTCCATAATTTGTATAGGCGCTGTCCATTTATAATCAAATAGGTATGAATCGGTACGATGATTGGCAGCCAGTCCTTAATTTTTCTTACGCGGAGTAGGGAATCTATGTTTAAAAACTTGAAAAAAAAAAACGAGAACCGATTACAAATTTAAAAAAGTTAAAAATAATACTTATTTCAAAGGCGACTTATTAAAAAATGCTATTGAAGGGCGCCTATAATTAAATTAATAACCAACTGAAAACCTCCGCCCCACTTTAATAGCATTTTCTTGAGTAAATCTCTTTTGAGACACGTATTATTTTTCACTTTTCTTAAATTTTTATGTTTTTATTTCACGCTTTATAGTGGTATTGATATTTTTTAAATAATACGTAACACTAAAATACTTTTCTGAAGACTGCGTCAAAACCGTGCTAAACCTCCTAAGTCTGATAAATACTATGCTAAAGATCGCATCAAAATTGGTTCAGCCAAGCGCGAGATAATCGCGCACAAAACATACATAGGTCAAACTGAAAACCTCCTTTTGTCACTCGGTTAAAAATACGCAAGCGCGAGCATAATAAAAATAGTAAGTAAGTACCCACAAAAGAATCTAAAAAAAAAACAAAAATGTCTTTCTATGTACACAGACTTGGAGTTGAAAACTGGCAAAAGTCTTATTTAATTAAATGGATGGCGCCATAATTAAAATTTGATAAAATTCATACGCTTTAATTATCAAAAAAGCACAACTGTAGTGACAATATTACAATTTTAAATGTGAAATTATAATAAGTAATAGCAAAGTTAAAAAAATATGTATGACATATTGCATTCTAAAGCTCGCGCCAGACGTGTGCACACATATGTTACACAGAACATTACTTTGTTGAAATAAAATATAAGCGCACAAAATGTGTTATAGCTAAGGTTCACAGTGTGAACACATATCAATACATGAGTGGTGCCGGAGGTACCTACAGTAAGTTACAATTATTATGGTGTATGGTGAATCTTGGTTTGCGCGAAGGCTCTACCGATATCGAAAGAACGATAAAAATTTAAAGTGAGCCTCGTTTTAATTTCTTAGCTTAATTAAAATGTGTAAAATACTAATGCCTTATTAGGTGTCTGTCTCACTTGCATTCAGCGGCAGTGAGGCGCGTGCATTATGTGCGCTTATTTCCACAAAAATATTATTTTACATAAATAAATATTAAATGTAAATCATCTTATATGTAAATACCCAAAACTCCGTATAAAATTTAACTGTTTAAAAAACCGCGGAAACGGCAACTCGAAGGACGTGACGTCACTTGTGGGGTAAACAAAAGGGATTTTCTGTAAAAAAATAATTATCGTCTGCAGTACTTATATTTAAACTAAGCAATAAACAGACGCTTGTAACCTGTTAAAAACTAATTAAATCAATAAGTTTATTTTATACTGAATGTTTTCCTCGCCTTTCCTAGATAGTTTTACTACAAATTTCACACGCTCTGATTGGTGTTTCATTTGATGTAAGACACAGACTATAAATATTGGAAATATATCGAATAAAAATATAAATAATTGTTATTAAGTAAAAATATTCAACGAACAATCTTTAAACTTTATAAACTTTTTAAGCACATACCATTAATTATGCGCGGGTACATCAGTGAGCCATATATATTGTTTGTATCTTACTGGACGGGTCATCATCATCATCATCAGCCCTTTTACGTCCCCACTGCAGGGGCTCAGTCCTTCCTTATGGATAGTTAAGGAGGATGGGTCATGACCCTCCACGCTGGCCCAATGCGGACTGGAGGGTATTAACGACTGCAAATGCAGACGGGATCAACAGCTTAACGTGCCTTCCGAAGCACGGAGTAGCTCGAGATAATAATTTTTCGGTCACCCATCCCGTGACCGACCCTTGCGAAAGTTGCTTAACGAAAACGATCGCGGGCCGCGGCACTACGCCACCGAGCTACTACTGGACGGGTGGAATATGTTATTTGTCATTTTTCTGAAAACTATGTATTTTATCATCATTTTTCATTTATTTTACATGTAGAAATTATTTTAATATAACTAATTTAATCACTTGACATTGGCAGAATTATGCGAAATGGGTAGATTAGCCATTAAGAAAAGAAGGTCGGTTGTCATGGAGAAATCAAGAACGTACCGTAGAGACATCTAGTTAGATTTCGGGAACTATTTTTTTCAAATACTTTCTCATTCTTTGCATGTGTTTTGATGCAGCAGGCGATCGTTAAGATCAATAATTTATATGCAATTATTGCATGTGTTACGAACCTTAGGGTTTACATGACGCAAGTAAACGAATTTATGTAAAGTATGTTGATAATTAAATTAAAAAAATATATCCTCGGATTATAGGTTTTTTTATCACTTTATATTTACGAGTACGACGAGACGAGTATTTTATCACTTTTAAGAGTAATTAGTTACACTAGAACTAGTTGACTAGAAGGTTCGATTAGAATAATCAGAGTGGTAAAATGCTTTGTGGTTGTTAAGATAATATGCGTAATTTATTCCACTGTATGGTACCCCCTTTAGGTTACCCTCCAATCCGCATTGGGCCAGCGTGGAGGGTCATAGCCCATTCTCCTTAACCATCCATAAGGAAGGCCAGAGCCCCTGCAGTGGGGACGTAAAAGGGCTGGTGTTGTTGTTGTTATGGTACCCCTAGATTAGAGAATACCCCAGGATGTCAAAAATTTTAATGTTTCATGAATTCATGATAAATGACATAACGTTTAAAAAATGAGATTTGTTGGGTAGTTTAGAAGATATAGCGTGGCGCTGCCAGACTGACGCCAACCCAGCAGCACCACATTATTTTTTTCTCATTATCTCGAAATGTGTATACTGAAACATTTATCGCTACTATGTCCCAGACTGATAAATAATGGATTGAAAGATGACCTAGAAAGTTCCTTAGATTTCTAGCTGTGGCGCTGCTAGTTTGACGTCAGCTCAGCAGCGCTCAAAGACTCGTTTATCTCCGAAACTACATAACTATTTGTCTCTATTTTGTAACACGCTGATTGATCAAGAATTCAATTCAAAATCGAAGAGCTTAAAGCTGCCATCCTGACACGTAATGCTGGACAGATTTGAACCTTTCATTATAAAATCATTAAGTCCATGGGACCATCCATGGGAGACATTCAACATCCTAGCAGCGCCTTTGAAATGAGTTCTTGATTTATCAAGTCCTTAATTATCAGTCCGTTAAGACCGTGTGTCTAGGAAAGGGGGGGGGGGGGAGGGGGTTCTGGATTCCATACGGTGTCATCAGAGAAATACTACCATCGCCACACCACACGAATGTAATATTACTCAATGCTTCTGTTATTAAGGAAACTGTACGATATGTGAACTTTTGTTATTTAAGTCCTAGAATATTTTCTGTATTGACTTTTTTTTGTTTTTACAGGATATATAGATAATTAAGATCGTCGTCATCGTAATGTTGCAGTGCTGGCGCTAACGCCATGCGAAATAAGTTCGGTCTTAATCGGAGTCAGTACGACTGGTTTTTAAAACCAAGATTAACCAAAACCAAATTAAACCTTAAGACTCATCCCACGGAAGCTTTTTAAATTCCGCAAAAAAAAACATTCAAATATAGCGAATGCGTTCCCAAGTAGGTATATGTTCACACGGCAGGGCTTTTATATTATAACACGATGCATTATTATTGCGCAATTTTCAATTTGGCTCGACGATAAACTGGATTGTTAAGTTTTAAAAGTGCCAACGCCGGGATTGAACGCAACGCTATTTAATTCTCGTGCGAATGAGTGCTAATTCTGTATAATTTTTGTCAGACTTTCGGGTGTCTAGAGTTGTTCAGAGGAGGGCAGCACCGGCAACACGCCGCCATGATGGTAATGGCTATGCTCGGCTTCTACTTCGAGATAGCGAGGCATGATAGAGACAAGTATATTAGAGTGCATCTTAGACATGTACGTCCAGGTAAGTGAAATCTAGTGCGAGTTGTCACATCAATTTTTGCTATTGAATAATATAATCTCTCATACTACGTAAATTGATTTACTTTTCTTTATTTCCCTCTGATCTGGGTGTTGTGTTGCCTTCGTTGTCTCAGATAATCTATAATACAAGGGCCTCGGCTACTCATCTCGGAATCTCATCGATCGAGATTCCCCAATACCCAACTCGGAGGGATATAATTTTCTTTAGCAACCTTTTCCAGTAGCTACCACCAAGTAGGATAAAAACCATCTCCCGGTATGCATGACACGTTCCTATTACTATACGATTTAATGGACAAATGGCTTTATAAACGAATAGACAGACGAAGTGCAATTTCGCCTATGTCGGTCTTCTTACGACACTGTCTAAAAGTCACCAAGACCTCTCATTATAGCATCTAAAATGCTTTTCTGCATCACCAGATAAATTGCATCACTTCGAGAAGATAAGGTCGGAAGCAACTCTGCCCCTCCCTTACGACTATGAGAGCGCCACTCACCCAGCGTGGCAGTTCTGGAGGAAACTTGGCAAGAGCGGTATATCGACCGTTGCCACTTATAAATCACAAGTAAGCTGGATGTGATTGAGCACGGAAGCCTAGTGCGTTGTATTTTAAAGCATTGTACGATGACTCGCGACCGTATTAATTGAGTTTTACACTTTGACTATGAAAGAGTTTGCATTGCCATTTGATGACTTTTCTTTCACTTTTGACACGACGTCTTCTCCTCTTCTCACCCTGAGACACATTGATAGACAAATAAACAGACGATTTTATAAAGATTTCGTTTCTTTGTGTAAAACATATAATCTATTTAATAAGGAATGCAACGAACCTATCTCAAACAGCTTTCATTTTGCTTTTTTCAGGACCCAGATGGTAAAATTATGAAGAATCTTGGCCAGCATACGAAACTACTTTCTGACACTGATATAATCAAAATCAACAGCGTCTATGGTACAAAATGTTTCATGGCCGCCAGGTCTAGTCAGATTAATAAACAGAGGTTTATTAAAAGCCAACAGAGACGGTTTTAATTGATAATAAATAAATTGTCAATAAGTATATGAGAGACAAAGATTTTGCAAGGTTGTTTTTTATTTCTGTTAAAATTTTAATGTTTGTTTGTTACCATTATTAGTACAGCCAATAGCATGTCATGTCACGTCAAATTATTTCCTATGAAAAAAAAAACATAAAAATCGCATTAGGAGGACGTCAAAAAAAGGCTGATTGTCCGAGTCATTATGAAACATTTTAAAAATTGCCATTTTAAAATAACGTGTTTTTATTCAGTTTATTATACAAAGGCAAAGAAATCTTCATGAAATCCATAATTATGAGTACATAGATTCGTAAGCATTATTTTTCGGTAAACTTATATCACTCTTCGTGATGACGTCGTAAATACTGATGTTTTCCATATAGCTGCGCCGTCGAAAAACGCATTTTTCCATAGATATCATAACGCTCACAGCTGTAATGGATAAAATATTATCAATTAATTTTATTCCTGTTCTGAGTTATATCTACCCAGTAGAAGCATCATTGGGTATTAAAGAAAAACGAAGTCTTGACGGTGGTGTTTTAGTGTAGTATAATACTAGGAAAAATATGTTTTGATTATGTTTGGTTATATGTTATAATCCCTGCAAGTTCCTAATGCTCCTGACCACCATTTTATGCCGTAATTGCGTTCAAAAATCAGTACCGTTAACAAATAAACACTAGTTGACGAGTATACTTATTGAATTGAGTTTTGTTAAAATCACAAAGAACTAATATAAGGTATCCTATTATATAACAGATAAGAACGCTTGGACTTGAGATAATCCAGCAACTGGATCACCTATCCATTACTTCTAAACTCATTATGCAACTGGATAGGTGATTACTTCTAAACTCATTATCTTGTTTCCATTATTATTAAATGATTATGTTATCATTATAAGACCATAGTTTTTTTTTCTCTCTCTGTTTATATTGTATTGAATTGGTAATGGTTTTTGTAAATGGCTTTACTCTTATTAGAGCTGGTGAGTTTCTTGCTCGTTCTTCTTATCAGCCAAAAGACGTCCTAAACAAGTGGTAGGGAAAAAAAATGTTGGACGATTCAAAAGTACTTTTAAGAAGTCTATTTGAATAAAGATTATTTTGACTTTTACTTTACAAACACAATCATTTTTGTTATGTTTTTGTTGGTTTCGTCGATGGTAATTGTTATGTTTTGTTATTACTTCTTATCGAAATCTGCATAAAAAACTTGGTTGTGTTTTTATTTTTTTACCAACTGATAAATCAGGGTCTTAGTTTATTACTCATGCATAATGCAAGAATGATTCATATCAAAAGCTAATAATGGCGCTGCTGAACTGAAGGACACATAACTGGTGAGCATGGAGTGACGAATGGGAAAGAATTGAAAGACGTGGTAACGTAATGGATGCGTCGTAAAGTTAATAACTTAATAATAATAAAAAAAAGTTCACCTGGTCTATCGACTGTATTGATAGACATTCGTTCTATCTTGTGCTCCTCTTTCCAGTGGAAGAACATTTTTTTAATGATCGCCAGAACTAAAGCAATCATAAATATACTCAGACCGAACAGTATAGTATACAGAGCCATTGAATTTTATAAACTCCTCTCGGTAACGCCGAAAATGCATGATTGTTGTAATTTTTTTAAATATTTTATATGTTTTATAGTTTATCCCCTTTGTGTTACATAGTCTGTTATAAAATGCCAATCACCAGAATTTATTGTACTTTAATTGTGATTGGAATTGACCATTTTAATAAACATTTATTTTAGATAGGTATCTGTACCAAATTGTGATTTGTGAGTAAATTGTCATTTTCAAAGAGTACCCATAAAGTATCTGCGTCAAAGAGTTCAGTATACACTAATTTTATTATCTCACATATTCCATTTTGTATGGGTCATAACATTGCGTGGGCATATGGAGAGTATGTTCATGTAATGCTATCTTTTCATTGCCTATAAAATCGCAAATAATCATCGAATTGTTATGTTTTAGTGAAAACTTAGAAACAAGTTTTATCCAAGATTAAAATATTACTTCACATTAGGCTGAAAAGGGTAGATACTTGTGCTTTTTATAAAATGATGACAAAACAAGAAAGCAGATCCACATCCGTCCTGCGTTATCGTAACTTCTAAAAAATCCCCATTATTATTTTGTCCTCTACAAATATATTAAAAATGCAGTTCAAGGTATTTTAAAAATAAAAAAAGAAAATCAAGCAGGATATTGGAAGAAGAATCTACTTTTGTCTTGGCTGTATGGCATTATAAAGATGCCTTTGCCATTCAATGTCAAAGTAAATGGAGAAAGAACAAAAAAAATTATGACAAATTGACAACTTATCCGTTTCCTGGCGCGAATTAATATTTTTCGTCAGTATTGTTAATTCACAGTTAGCTAATATTACTTTTTTTACTATATCGAGTAATAAAACTAGTTATTATACAATGTTAAATTAATTATTTTTTCCACGACCTATTATTATTATTTGTGAAGCGTGTAAATTAGTTGTTAAATATTTTTACTTTCGAAAATGAGCTTCGAAAGTTATGGTAAGCTGTATTGTTTTTATGTGTATAAATAACAATATAATTTAATAGTAACTACATAATAACACACGAAAAATGTAGTAAAGTATCAGAGATTTATAAGTGACAAATAAATAAATAACAAATGTTTGTAAATTAAAATGTTACCTATTCTAAGATTCGAATCTTTTTTCAATACGAAAATATATTTATTTATTTACTCCTCAGACACTAAATTATGTAGTTAAAGCTCTTGTATTATGCAAATCTGAGACAACGAAAGTACCAACACACCCAGACCTGAGACAATAAAGATAAGTTCAATTTCTACATTGATCTAATATCTAGTGTTTCGTGATTAACCTAATAAATTTAAATACCTACTTTTGTACAATCAATAGCACGTAACGTTATACGAATCTAGATGATTTTAAGCCTTAAACCTAGGAGTTAAAGAGTTGAAAATCAATTATGGATATATGACATATTTTTGGTAACCGAGGTGTTGTTGTGTATCTTGTCGTATAGTCATAGTGAAGATCTGTGATCTAACAGTGGGGGTATTAAAAGGCTGATGATGATGAGAGTGAACGGACCATAATCAGATTGGTGGGTGTTAAAATTTTTAGATGCAGCAAGGACCAATAGCACAGAGGTGATTGAAATAAAAAAGTTTGGTCACCCATCCTATGACCGGCCTATGCAAAAGTTGCTTGCGTTCTGATCGCAGGCCGAACGTTCTAACTAATGCATCATCGAATTCCTCGAAAATACGCGTTACGGTTTAAAAACAAGACTTGATTCTACATTTTAATTGTACTCTGAGTCATCTTCGGTATTGATAGGTCTGTTCTGCACAAAAATTCCTCATACGCGATATTGATGATCGGCTCTTCATTTATAATTAGCACCCATCCCGTGACCGACCTTTGCGAAAGTTACTTAACAACAACGGTCGCAGATCTAGGCGCTCATCCACTACGCCAACGAGATTCTAGTTGGCTCTTACTGTACTAATATTTTTCCGTCATTCCCATCAACACAAGTCATTACCATCAACATCTGTCACTCTTATAAACATATACATTTCAGATCATCATATAATACAGAAACATCGCCTCGCAGTAGCTTTAGCTGTGTTAAAAGAAAAACCACAAAACGTGTCAGTTGAAAAATATTTAGAAGACATAAGAAATAAAATGAACAATAAAACTAATGACGAGATCGATTTAACTATTTCTAGTGATGATTTCAATTTAGATGATAATGACAATAATGATCCACAAATTAGTATTAATATATTACAGCATATAGATAACGGCATTATTTCCAATAATGATACACTGGTAAATAGTACTGGGAGTGTCATTAATGAATCGGTGAATAATGACGATCGGAATAGTGTAATGATATTAGAAAATGTTCTGATTAATGATATCGGAAGTCGCAATAAATTTGTAGATGAAATTACAAATAGTCAAGAAAGTATTTCTATACTTAAAGATGTAATTAACAAAGATGAAGTAAATGGAGATTTGTATGGGGAAAAGAGAAGAAAGATTACACACGACAACGTAAGTGAAATTAAATGAGGAAGTATTAAAAAAAAAAAACATTAATACCCGAAATCAAACTAGGGGCTGTCCATTAATCACGTGAGGCTCGAAAGGGGGGGAGGGGTCCATAAAAAAGTCACGAAATATCACAAGGGGGAGGGGGGGTGAAGTAACATATCACGTGTATTTATTTTTTCGACAAACGCGCGATACTCAACCGAAAAGCGGCGTATATAAGTGTAATAAAATTATTTTTTCGTCAAACGTTCATTAAATAATAATATTCATAAAGTTTTTCGCATTCCTTTCATTATTTTTGTCAATCAAAAACAACCTGCAAGTCCTGTAATCTTTCTGTCTACCTCTAGATATTATTGTACTCTTTAATTGTCTATAATACAATTAGAAAATTAAGATTCATTGTAAGTACTAAAAATACACGTGATATATGGGGAGGGGGGGGGTAGTCTTAAACCTCACTATGTATCACTATGGGGGAGGGGAGGTCAAAAAATGCCAAAAAAAACATCACGTGATTAATGGACGGCCCCCTAGATGTCGCTACGATACGTTCTTGATTTCTCCATGACAACCCTTCCTTTTTTCTTGGGTTTTCTTTCATGTTTAAAAGTAAATTAGTTTGCAAAACTCATATTCTATTTGTACTTTTTCGTATTTGTATTGATATCTTTGTTTCGAACTTTGCAAATTTCACTTTATTAATATGTTAGTTAAAAGGAACTGAAATGACTGTCTTTGGTCTATTCGATTCTTGCAATAATCAAATTTTGCTCGAGTCGCCATCTAGTGGAGGTGCTTTTTTAGTGCTTTCATTTTTTTTCGAAATACTTCCTCATTAAACAGTAAAGATTAATTATATAATAGTTATAAGAAAGCAGAATTATTAGTTTAATTATGAATAATAATAAAATCAAAATGGAATTCGGTTCGTAGGACTTAAATTATTTTTTCCTTTGATTATTATTGGTTCTACATATTGACTACATTTACTGGGATTGTCGTCACTAACTATCTCTATACGTGGTAGAGATTAGACAGAGAACACTATTCACACACATCTATTTACCCACTTTTATGACTTCATATTACTAATTTTATAATATTTTCATTCGTATTGCAGTTGGAATTAAATACAACGAAAAATGAAGAGTTAAAATTTAATACAAAAGAATCACACATAGCTAAGAATGTAGAATCTACCTATTACAATACCCAAGCGATTGAAAATACCCAAAACGACTACAGCAACATTGACGAAATATTAGCAATCGATTCAATGTTTAACAAAAATATCAATACACAAATTTCTAACAAATTTAATGATACATCTCAAAATTACACTCACGTCAGTCAGAGTCAATACAATAATATAACATTTAATGATATATTATTCAAATCTAAAGAACGTTTTAGTAAAGATGCTAATAACAATACAGATAAACAAAATAACAACAGCAACCTATCTATGAATGAGAATCCAGCAGCAATCGAAGCGGAAACAATCAAAGATATTAATGATAAAGAAATATATCGAAGCGATTTCGATGAATCACTAAATAAACATAATATAAATGTCCATAACATTCGAATTGGTGAAATAAATGAACACAATAAAGACACTTTTAAAAATAACAATCACATAATAGAAAATAATGATAATGCATTTGAAAATATCAATCACACGATCGAAAATAACAGTCGCACGTTAGAAAATATCAATCATATAATTGAAAATGACGTACAGACGATTGATAGTGACAGTCAATCGGGATTGATAACGTTTAAAGTGATAGAAGAATTGAATAAAGTCAAAAGTTATTTAAATAGAAATGGTGATAGAAGAATCAGTGGCGAATGCTCATTGGATTCTGGTTACAAGAGTGATAATCAATCGAGAAGTTCTAGAAGTTGTAAGTGAATTATGACAATATTAGGGTTCTGTGCAGGGGTGGATCGTGAATTTGTGGGGCTCTGCTCCGTGCTAATACTTCAGGGGCCTATTTATAAATGAAATAATAGGGATGATGACTAATTTTTGTTTGTTTGTCCGTCAGATAGATGTTAAAAAATATTGAACACGTATTTTTTTATTTTTTTCGTAATCATAAAATAACGGCGTTACATGGAGTTGAAATTTCGCATGACTTCACGTTAGAGTACGTTTTCTACTCAACTGTGACGTAGCGAGCCCCCACTCCTCAACTTCAATGCCTGTTATCTAAGCTATTTCTTGTTAAATTAAAGTAAAAAAAAAATACGTATCTAATATTTTTCTATTATCTGACTGACGGACTAAATAGAATTGCATTTTTTTACCCAGTCATCATCCCTATTGTAGTTTTGTTAAACTGCTTTTAATAATACTAATGTGTGTATATTGAGGGTTCTTTGTAAGCCCTTAGGTAGATCCGCCCCTGGTTCTGGGGGTTAATTGTGTAATTGCAAAATTTATCACAATCTCTTTCAAAGACATAACGATTCTGATAGCTATTAATGGAATCATGTCACTATTAAAATAGCAAGCGAATGATTAGAATGATCAAGAAACAATAAAAACCAGCTCCGGAGCTTTCCTTGCAGGATCCCGGATTCTTCCCCCCATATTAAGATAGCCAGATTTTTTTCAGCCTATAAGGGACTTATACGGGACAAATAAAAACCAAATTATTTACTAAGACTTTTTTATAATATTTTAAGATATTTTTGTTCTATTTGACTTATTTAAAAACATTAATACAATAGGGATGGCGGCTGAGTAAGCAAATAAATTCAATTAAGTCCCGCAGACAGATAATAGAAATACATTAGTTGCGTTTTTTTTTACTTCAATTTAAGAAATAGCTTAGATAACAGGCATTGAAGTTGAAGAGTGGGGGCTCGCTACGTCACAGTTCTGTAAAAAATGTAAAAAAGCGTGACGTCATTTGACATTTCAACTCAATGTGTAATTTAATGATAACGAAAAAAAAACCTCATTATTATTTTTTAACAATCTACCTGACAGACAAACAAATAAAAATTTGTCGTCATCCGTATTATAATAAATCATAGTTAAATATGAAAATGAGAAAGTATTAAAAAAAATTGTTCCCGAAATCAAACTAGATGTCGCTACGGTACGTTCTTGATTTCTCCATGACAACCCTACCGGTTTTCTTTTATGTATAAAAGTAAATTAGTTTTCAAAACTCAATAAACAAATCATATTCTATTTGTACTTTTTCGTATTTGTATTGATATCTAAGTTTCGAACTTTGCAAATTTCAGTTTTTTATTGTTACGAGTAGTTAAAAGGAACGGAATTGACTATCTTTGGTCCATTCGTTTCCTGCAAAACAACTTTTGCTAGAGTCGCCATCTAGTGGAGGTGCTTTTTAGTGCTTTCGTTTTTTTTATACTTCCTCATTGAGACATTTGAAAGATATTCAACGAAATTATAGTTGAATATCTTTCAAATGTCAAATTGAAAGGGATTGGGGTAAATTTTAAATTTAAAAGTGTGGTTCCAATTTGGTCCAGATCTGGTAATGGCAAAACCATATGTCTTAAATTTGCATTAAGTATACGTGATGTTTGCTACCTCAATTTTTGGCATAGTATTTGTCAGACTTAGGTTTTAGGTATATTAACCGACTAAATAAATGGAGGTTCGCACTTTAACACGGTTTTCAGAAAAGTATTTTTAGTGTTATCTATTATATAAAAATATCAATATCACTAAAAAGCATGAAATAAAAATTTAAAAAAGAAAAAGAACCGAATTCAAACTTATTAGAAAAAAGTGAAAAATAATATGTACTAATCTCAAAAGCGACTTTTTCAAGAAAATGCTATTAAAGTCGGGCGCTTATAAGTTGCAAGCTTCAGACTTCAAAAAACCAGAGGATCATTTCTGGGTAAATGTATTGCTATGTTCAATAAAGTTCCACAAAATGTAATTGACCTACCCGTAAATAAATTTCAAATTCATGTACAGAACATACTTATGAGTAAAGGCTATTATTAAGTTGATGATTATTTTAAGGATCGCAATGCATGGAATTAATAGCCTTCGCTTTGTTCTATAACGACTAATTATATGTACAACCTATGTCCTACAGACTTTGAAAGTTGTATTTATTATTGTAATAATACATATTATTTTGGTAATGACATGATTTATGTAAATGTCATTACTTATGATAAAGAGCTGGTAAGTTTCTTTCGCTTGTTCTTCTTGTCAGCTAAAAGACGACCTGGACAAGAAGTAGGGGAAATAGTTTTTTGGACGATTCAAAAGTGCTTGTAATAGCCTACTTGAATGAAGATATTTTCATTCATTCATTCAATCAATAACCTACAGAAAACCTCGCTTTTGAGATAAGTGTTATTTTTCACTATTTTTTAAAGTTTTAAGTCGGTTTTATTTCTTAAAAGTTTTTTTGCCCTTGTAAGTTCGGAACCTTAAAAATACTTAAATTTTTCCCATGTTTCAGCTTCACAGTTATCAGGGTCTTTTTTAAACCAATCAGGTAGATGTTTGTTTGATTATATAATTAAAGTACGATTTGTGAGCGATGCCCAAGAAGTGACTAGTGAAATAGCACAGGTATGTAAGCATCATCAGCTGCTGCAGGGGCTTTGGCCTTCCTTATGGATGATTAAGGAGGATGGGCTATGATCCTCCATGCGGGCCCAATGCGGATTGGAGGGTATAAACGACTGCAAATTTAACTGGGACCAATGGCTTAACGTGTCTTCTGATGCACGGAAGAGCGAGAGATAATTTTTTTGGTCACCCATCCCGTGAGTGATCCTTGTTGTTTAACATTAACGATCGCGGGCCGCGGCGCTTATTCACAACGCCACCAAGCTATAGGTATGTTAACAAATCATCATTTTCTTTATACAATGGGCCATAATCACGTGGGCCCAGTGCGGATTGATGGGTGTTAGATGTAGCTGAGAACATTGAGCTATAGGTATATTAATAACATTTTCCGTATATAATGGGTCATAATCACGCGGTCCCAGTGCGGATTGGTGGGTGTTTAGATGTAGCTGAGATGGCGTTATGCTTAGCGCGTTCGGTCTACGATGCAGCAGTTAAACAATTTTCGCTAAAAAAAAAATCTGTTAACACCCATCAATCCGCGCTGGGCCCGCGTGGTTAGTTATGATCTGCTTTTCCTATTCGACTCAGTTCCATCCATAGGGAAGACCTGTGCACATTAATAGGCTTATGACCAAAACTAAAAAACTTAATGTGTATGAATCCTAATATTACATTTTCCTTAACATATTTGGACTTCACTACATAGTATAAAACAAAGTCGCTTCCTCTGTCCCTATATCCGTATGTATGCTTAAATATTTAAAACTACGCAACGGATTTTGATGCGGTCTTTTTTCATAGATAGGGTGATTCAAAAGGAAGGCATTAATGTATATTACAAGACTACGCGGGCAAAGCCGCTGTCGGAGAGCTAGTTAGACATAAAATTCCCATCTGTACCCAACATGGGAATGTTATATTATAGGAAGTATGGGAGTAGCTCGGTGCCGTAGTGGATAAACGCCGCGGCCCGCGATCGTAGTCGTTAAGCAACTTTCGCAAGGGTCGGTCACGGGATGGGTGACCGAAAAATTATTAAGTATCTCGAGCTACTCCGTGCTTCGGAAGGCACGTTAAGCCATTGGTCCCGGTTAAATTTGCAGTCGTTAATACCCTCCAATCCGCATTGGGCCAGCGTGGAGGGTCATGGGTAGTGTTGCCAGGTCCAATTTATTATTAATCGGGACAGCGCGTGTAATTAATCGGGATTTGGGGTTGTAAATCGGGACACAAAAAAACAAGTATTAATACTAGTTTGGTAGCTTTTTTACTTTCAGACATAGATAAATATAGTTAGGGGCTTTCAAAAATGGATTTGACAGTATGAAAAATATATATATATATATATTTTTTTTATAAAAATACTTGATTTTTCGGGATATTTAGCGTCCCGATTAGGTACAAATCGGGACGCGTCCCCGGACCCCTGGAAATCGGGACGTCCTGCGTAAATCGGGACACCTGGCAACACTAGTCATGGGCCATGTTCTTTAACCATCCATAAGGAAGGCCTGAGCCCCTGCAGTGGGGACGTGAAAGGGCTGGTGATGATGATGATATATGGGAATGTTATAAGTATAAAAAAATATGTAATTTCAGGTATTAGCCAATCTAATAGATAGATTACACGAGGATGAAAAATATTTATGCTTTTTGGATGAATTATTAGAAACCGTGGAAAGTTTGCTTAAAGAGACGCTAGATGGCAGTGACGACGATAATTTTGTAAGTCACCATTGAGATAATGATACCCAGAATAAAAATCAAACAATTTTAATTTGCATTTCTTTTAATCATATGTTAACCACGTGATGTTGTTTTCAAAATTTTTCACCCCCCCCCCCCTCCCCGTTGGTGATACATGGTAAGGTTTTAATACTAAACTCCCCTCCACCCAAATCACTTGTATTATTTAGTACCTAAAAATTTTTTTATACTCGTCACGTGACCGCAAACAGCGTGTGACGTCACGCCCCTCTTACTCATATCAGAACTTAAAACCCTAAAAAAGGGCTTAGAAAATCCACTTCGTCCCTGGCACTCTGAGATGGGACTCGAAACCCATGACCAAAAAAAATATTATATTTAGTCCGTCTGTCAGATAATAGCAAAATATTAGATACGTATTTTTTTACTTCAATTTAACAAGTAATAGCTTAGATAACAGGCATTAAAGTTGCGGAGTGGAGGCTCGCTACGTCACAGTTTTGTAGAAAATGTACAGATGCGTGACGTCATGTACAATACGTGTTTAATAATTTTCGACAGTCTATCTGACGAACAAACTAACAAAAATTTTGTCGACATCCCTTTGGTAAAATGTAATAAGTTGAGAGTAAAAAAATATTACGAAAACATTAACGAGGAAGTATTAAAAAGAAACATTAGTTCCCGAAATCAAACTAGATGTCGCTACGGTACGTTCTTGATTTCTCCTGACAACCCTTCTTTTTTTCTTCGATTTTTCGGTTTTCTTTCATGTTTAAAAGTAAATTAGTTTGCAAAACTCAATAAACAACTCGTATTCTATTTGTACTTTTTCGTATTTGTATTGATATCTAAGTTTCGAACTTTACAAATTTCAGTTTTTTAATATGTTAGTTAAAAGGAACGGAAACGACTATCTTTGGTCCATTCGTTTCCTGCAAAAATCAACTATTGCTAGAGTCGCCATCTAGTGGAGGTGCTTTTTTAGTGCTTTCGTTTCTTTTAAATAACTAACTTCTTCATTATTATTTTTTAAATTATTATTTATTGAAATTACTATTTGTTTTTTCAGTTTCTTAAAAAAGACGAAATTATTCATAAACTACTTCTACTAAACATATCGCCCCACATCCAAAAATATACAATAGAAAAAATAATTACAATCTTACAAGAACTGCAAAATAATTTAAATAACTCAGAAGATTTATACGAAATAAATCGCACAGAAGAATCAGAGAATTTATGTTACATATTTCATTTATTAGAAGTTTTAATAAGAAGATTTATTAATTCTAAAGATTTAATAACCAGAAGTTCACAGAATGAATTAAAGAAGAGTTCTATAACCGATATTTGGAGAAGAAAATGGAATCCGAATTTTAAAAGTATCGAAACAGAGGATTTAGTTGTTAATCCAAAGGGGATTATTCTAAAAAAATGTGCTGAAATATTGAATAAATATATTATTACTTGCATAAATGGATATAGTTTAATATCATTTGCAGCATTACAATGTTTTAATGCGTTGCAAACACAATAAAAGAATTTTATAGATTAAATCTTATTAAAAAAAATATGCTGTTTTATTGTTTCTCAGATTCGCAAAGAGTAATAAGTTTCTAAAATCAGTTTTAAATTATTATATTTATTTATCGTATTTCGCGGGCTACCTTACGCATGCGCGAGCCGCGACGCCGCGCCGCGCGGTCTCACGCCTGCGCAGTAACCGCGTCTCGAGCTAGTGCGAGAGCCAAAATTATATACAAAGAAACTAGATGTGTTTGTCCTTGTGTAACACAAATTCGAACAATTACATTAAATATTATTTCTTAAATTTAACATGTGAAACAATTTTATATATTGTATTATTTGGTATTTGTACATAGAATTTTTTTAAATATATTAAATTTTTATAATGTTTACTTTGACAATTATTTTATCTTATGCATATACATTTATTTATATGTAGGTACACTACAGCAGTAACAATGCTATACTGCCACCCTGAGATGGGATATGAACCCATGACGATTCACTATCCGGGCGCCTGGGTCGTGATGTCGAATCCCATCTCAGGGTTTTCATTAAGAATATTTTTCAGTTATGAACTTGATTTTCGAAAGATTAAAAGCTTAAATAACGACTAGAGGTTTTTTCTATTCAATTATCAGTTTTTAAAGTTTCATAAACACGGGAAAAAATCAGCGGTCGACAGATTTTTCGCTGTGTAATATAATGTGTATCATCATCATCATCACCGGCCTTTTACGTCCCCACTGCAGGGGCTCAGGCCTTCCTTATTGATGGTTAAGGAGGATGGGCCACATGACCCTCCACGCTGCCCTAATGCGGATTGGAGGGTATTAATGATTGCAAATGCAGCCGGGACCAACGGCTTAACGTGCCTTCCGTGACTGACCCTTGCGAAAGTTGCTTAACGACTACTATCGCGGGCCGCGGCGCTTATCCACTACGCCACCGAGCTGCTCTTATCAGTAGGTAGAGCATCAGACTCTTAATGTGTATATAAACAAGTTAATACTGACAAATCTCAGATTATATCGGTGTTGGGTGTTAGCAGTTCTTAGTTAGAAAGAGAGAAGAACCCATCTGTCTGTCTACCATTCTCTACACCGAAACGATTTCATTGACTGTGCATACGCCAGCAGTAAGAGACAGGATACCGCGTTATTGTCTCTCTTTCTAACCGAGAACGTTTCCGATTACAGACGATCCGTATATTTTATTGATTGTATTTATAATACCTCTATGAGTGCGATTCACATTCATTCAAATGACATTAGTATCAGAGGCGGAATAACCTCATTAAAGGTCCGGATCGACAACTTTTTCCAACCAGGAATCTTGATACTGCATTTATACCCCCTCTGGCCCACTCAAAAGTTTTTAACTTTATTATGTTATTATGATTCTGGCGGATGGCTCTATTTGGAGCCCCCTCAGGACAGGAGGCTCGGGGCCAACCGTCTCCCCCCTTAGTCTGCCGCTGATTAGTATATTACTGATATTAACTGTACGGCACCATCTAATCTTCTGAGTTGGAACCATTTATATACGAAGTTTAGGTATTTAGGCATGTTTTTTGTTTTTAGAAACAAAATTATATACAACATTCCTTTGAGAAATCATTTATTTATATTCCATGGTCCTCGTAAAAGGTAGACAACTCTTCTTCTAGTCTATTCTTCTCGCAGACTTCTCTCAAATGACGATTTAACTTACTATTCCCCTGTAACATAACAAAGAAAAATATATTTATGGAAATAATAAATCTTATTTATAAATAAACTACTTATTTGATTTTGTTACTTCAAACTTGGCGTCGACTCTCCAACTCGCCTAGAGTCGACGTCAGGCTTTACAAATGTTACCTTATCTAGAGCCATTGGACTAATTGTATAGATTTAATATCGATCACAATCCTTTTTGTCACAGCGATTTATGGTATTATGCAACTTTTAAAGTAGCATTATGTAACTAATGATTGAATAATTAAAAAATATAATAAATACTTAGTTAAACCCGTTGAAAGATTGCAGTTAGTATTGAACTCTTTCATTTGTTTAAGATATCTGTCTTAGATAATTCCAATTAACGATATCGTTCATTAAATATCTTTCAAGAAACGTTCCGAACGCAACCGTTATCACATATCAAATAGTTGGGGAGTGAAATTCATGAATATTATTCAAACTTCAAATAAAAAGGGACTATGATAGATTTTAAAATTAGACAATTAGGCTAAAGAGGCGGAAAAGTAGTCTATACTAATATTATAAAGAGGAAACATATGATTGTTTGTTTGTTTGTAACGAATAGGCTACTAACCTACTAGACAGATCTTAGAAATTCTTTCACCTACGTAAAGTTACAATCATACGCGGGTGGCATAGGCTATGGTTTATCCCGAAAAACAGCAAATAAACGGATGAAAATTGGAGAAATTTATTTGTATAGGGAATTGAAACGTTGCATAGTTTACCATTGTTTACTATTAGTCATTGTAATTATATATGTGTTATGATATATATCGATATCCAAACAAACAGTTCCCTAGGGAGTAGCTAGTTATAAATATAAGAATATCGAACCTTGAACGTGGCTCCGCAGAGATGGCACACAGCTGTATTAGCGTTGTTATGGCGACGGGGGCGGGGGCGGGCGGGGGGCACACGTTTTCTACTCTCTCTACAGTGAATGATATTAAATTTATAGTTAAAACTCTAACAGTGCTACTTATAAACAAAGTTTAGCGTCAGAGTAAATATACGCTAAAATTGCAGTTTTAGTATTTGTCCAAATTCAAATTACACAGAGAATAAGCAAACCTACTACCTTCTAGGAGCAAATATTACTCCCGTAGAACCTCGTACTAGGTAAACCTTTGCCAAATCTCTGTTTAATAATATGAATTTTGACTAATACTAAGTGCAGTCTCAGCGTAAATTTACTCCAACGCTACTGTTTATTAATAATACTGTAAGAGTCAGTTTCACCATTCGCTGATAAAGTCCTTGATAGGTAATCAGAAATTCATCTGTCACATAAATTTTTTTGGTTGCAATTTGCAATTTTTGGTTTCAAAAGTCTCATATAGAACTATCTGACGGATAATCTCAGTAGTTTTCAATTGTCAGATAGCGTTGTGTGTTAGGTAACTATCTGGAATTTTATCAGCAAGCGGTGAAACGGGCCCTAAATATGTAAAATTAGCCGAGTAGAGTAGTGGATAAGCGCGCCGCCCGCGATCTTTGTTGTTAAGCAACTTTCGCGAGAGTCGGTCGTGGGATGGGTGATCGAAAAATAATTATTATACTCCGTTAAACATTCGGTCCCGGTTGCACCTGTCGTTAACACCCAGCAATCCGCAATGGGCCCGCGTGGTTGGTCGTGGTCCAATTTCCCTTTTTGATTTCATTCGCAGGGAAGGCCCCAGCTGTGGTTACATTAATAGGCGGACGATGACAAAGCTTTGTAAGAACGCGATTACAAACGGAAAGGATATCTATTTAAAATATAACCAAAAGTAATAATGAAATGAGTGACATTTGACATATTAGTGAAATTAAATTTCTTATTGTGAAAATTATAATAGCCTAACAATAACAATATCGAAACCAACAAAAACAACATAATATCAACACGACACAAATCGATAAGTGTACTCGTCGACCGGTATTTATTTGTTAATGGTAATGATTTTCGAACGCAATTGCGTCTAGTTTCAGCAGAGCAATTCTGTAGAAAACCGAACCCAACTAAAAGTGTCATTCGCTCAATCTTGAATATGTATAAACGTTTCATGGCATAACTGAAGTGAGTTTCGAAATAGCATAGGGATAAAATATCCGAGGCACTTATACTTTACTTATATTTAAATACAAAAAAATGTAATCAGTAGGAATACCTACACTAATTTAAGGGGGTATTCTAGTGTAGAGGCATGAATTTAAGGTGTTTTCTATACATTTTAAAACTGTTGTAATTTTAAACGAAAGTTTATTAAAATAATTAAAATGATCCCTAAAATATTACGCTTTACTCAAAGCAGGTGTATCAGCGTTGCTTGAAGGTTAGAATTTAACTGTTAGAAACTAGCTGTAACTAAACACTAAGCGTTGAATATTTTCAAAGAAATATATAAGAGTGACCTTGAATAACTATATATGCATTACTTTACTACTATAATACATTAGTATATTACAAAAGTATAAGAGTGTATAAGGTTTTACAACCGAAGGGGATCGCAGGTAGACAGATGATCCTAATGTCTTTTGTTCGATTCGTACCAGCGGAGTCACTTTAGAAGTCATGTCACCAAAATAGCTACATCTCTGGAAATAATTAATAAATAATTACAGATCCTTTTAAGGACATATTCTTGAAAGGTTAAGCTTTGAAAATATAAAATATCGATTTTTTCAAATTTATACACTAGAATACCTCCTTAAGTTTTCGAAGTGAATTCAGACACCTGAGTGAATTCGAATTCGGGATTTTTACGGAATCACCCACCTGTCTCTCTACCGTCGCATATATGGTAAGCTAGGAAAAGGAACATAGCGAAACGATTTCATTGACTTTCACGGGTACACAGGGCAGGTGAATTGACTCACCCGGTACGCAGATGCACGTTCCGGACGTGCGCGAGGAGGCTCTTGCGGCCCGCGTAGGCGCCGCCGCAGCGCCCGCATGCGAGCGGCGCCGCGCGCGCGCCGTGCGTGTGCTGGTGTTGCCGCAGCGTGTACGGGGAGCTGAACGTCGCCGGACACACCGCGCAGTGGAACTTTCTCTGTATATGTTTACTGGTAACGAGAAAATGAACGGATTGAAAAAAATATCCATTTAGACCGTCTGTCAGATGATAGAAACAACAACTACTATTAAAAAAAATACTTATTATAAAAACTTATTATAAGGTATCCGATTATATAACAGATATGAACGCTTGGACTTGAGATGATCCAGCAACTGGATAGATGATTACTTCTTAACTCATTATATATAAAAAAATATCTTGCTTTCATTATTATTAAATGATTATGTTATCATTATAAGATCATAGTTTTTTTTCTCTCTCTCTATTTATAATGTATTGATATGGTAGTTTCTTGCTCGTTCTTCTTATCAGCCAAAAAACGTCCTGAACGAGCGATAGGGGAAAATGTTGGACGATTCAACAGTACTTTTAAGAGTCTATTTGAATAAAGATTATTTTGACTTGACTTTTGAATGTTACTCAACGAGAAAAAGAGGGGACAAAAATAGTCGCCTACAAAGGTAATACTTACATCATATGAGTTCTGACTGCGGCCTGGTCTCTACATCGCTGCCCGCACAAAGTGCAATTGTAACCACGACTCGAGTTTTCTGGACGATGAAACCGTTTTAAATGCTGCTGTAGCCCGTTCGAATCTCTGATAATAAATTCAATGGCATCCTTAATGAAAAACGCTTAAAAGCCAACCAACCCCTGGTACTCTGATGTGGGACTCGAACTCACGACCTTTAGCAAAGCGGTAAAGTAACAAGTGCTTGAAAAATTCGTCAATCCTGTTGGGTCCTGTGGCATAATAGGGATGACGACTAATTTTTGTTTGTTTGTCCGTCAGGTAGAGCGTTAAAAAATATTAAACACGTATTTTTTTATTTTTTTCGTAATCATAAAATTACGGCGTTACATGGAATTGAAATTTCGCATGACGTCACGTTATGGTACGTTTTCTACTCAACTGTGACGTAGCGAGCCCCCACTCCTCAACTTTAATGCCTGTTATCTAAGCTATTTCTTGTTAAATTAAAGGAAAAAAAAAATACGTATCTAATATTTTTCTATTATCTGACAGATGGACTAAATAGAATTGCATTTTTTTTACCCAGTCGTCATCCCTATTGTCTAATTTAAAAAAATCTATCATAATCACTTTGAATATGACATTTTAATACTCAATTATTTATTGTCAACATATGTTACAAAAAAATATTAACCCTGACAAACAGTAAATTATATTGTTATTCTTATTTATAGTCTTCTTCTTCTTCTTTTTTAAATAATGGCTTATCTGCGCATTTCGCACAATTCTGCCAATGTCAAGTAAATAAATTAATTTTTACATGTAAAACGAAAATGAAATAATTAAAAGATGGCGATGATCCCTTATTTATAGTCGTAATTTAATTTAATAAATTGACAATTGTGTAACTTTGATATTAACTATTGACATTAATCGGCGTCGGTCCGATTCTGGAAAGTAAACAGACGATATTACGATGAAATCGGTTATGTAAGAGGGCCAATAGAAAAAGCCGGGTCCAAAGCCTTAACGTGCCTTCCAAAGCATGGAGAAAACAAAATTTTTGGTCACCCATCCTGGAACCTGCCATCGCGAAAAGCGCTTCTATAAACAGAACAGAGGTTTTGAAAAAACAACCTTAATACCTACAATGTAAAGTACATACTTAAAAACTTTCCCGCATAAATGACACGACGCTTCGTCCACTCGTATCCCATAACAATCCCTCGCGTGCGCAGTGCGCTGTCTCTTTCTAACCATAGTGTCACACTTGAGACATCTATATCTTTCTGAATGCAATCCCTTATGAGATCTTAATACAGCCGGATTGGCGAAGCGCAGGGTGCAAATATTACATCTATGTTCACCGTTTGACTGAAAAACGTATTAAATATTATTGTCTCACTAACTAAATAGACTTTAGTCAGTTAGTTAGTCGGCCAATTAGTTAGTTAGTTAGTCGGCCAATTAGTTAGTTAGTTAGTCAGCCGGTCACAGTGAGTATTAATTTATAACTACTTGCCTGTCTATTTAACTGAACGAGAGGCGACTGAGATTGCCGAAAATAGACGGTAGGTTAGTTACACTGACCGACTGACTTACTAATTGACTTAATTTGTTGTGCTCAGTCGGTTAGAGTTAGACATTATTAAATACAACCATCCACTTTATTGTAGACTACCCTATTTATACCAAATAAAGGATTATTGTTATACTCTATTCCAGAGCTTTAGCTGGTTTTGGCTACATTTTTATTTACTTTTATTACGAGGGTCAAACTGAAAGTTCTTAGAACTGGCCACTTATAAACAATATAATAAAAAAATAATTCTAAAATTTGAAAATATAACTCTTTGCCAATATTACTGAGTATATATTTCATTCATTTGTCATTTGTTTTACGATTTGGCGGCAAATTGAAAATTGTCTGTGTCACGTCATCATGAATTTAACACGAGAAAATTTTCGTGCAATGATTTTTTATGACTTTCGATGTCATTTAAGTCAACAAGAAAGTTATGATAGACTACGATTGGCCTTTCACGATGAAGCCCCATCTCGTGCGACTGTTTACAACTGGTTTAATGAGTTTAAACGTGGTCGCACTAATCTCACTGATGATTTACGTGAGGGACGGCCTTCTACGGCGACGACTGAAGATAACATCTGTGTTGTGCGGCGTATGATAGAGACTGACAAAAGAGTGACCTATCAACAGATTCGGACAAGCTTAGGCATCGGTATGAGTCAAGTGCACAAAATCCTCCACGAACATTTAGCGGTCAGGAAGCTTTGCGCCCGGTGGATACCTCATAATTTGACTGAGGCTCAAAAACTCCATCGTGTGGATTGGTGTCGTAAAATGATTGAAAGATTTAACGGAGGTGACTCAAATGCTGTGTTCGACATACTAACAGGTGACGAAAGCTGGATTTACTGTTATGATCCTAAAACCAAAAGACAATCTGCTCAGTGGGTGTTTCCTTTCGAGGAGTTGCCAACTAAAGTGAAGAGAGATCGAAGTGCGGGAAAAAAAATGGTGGCCTCGTTCTTTGGAAGGATAGGTCATTTTGCAACAATTGTGTTAGAGGATCAAAAAACAGTTTCTGCAGAATGGTACACTACCAATTGTTTGCCACTTGTCTTGGAAAAAGTTCGAGAGAAACGACCTCGCAGTAGGATCCTCCTTCACCACGACAACGCCTCGTCGCACACCGCCAAGCGAACGATCGACTATTTGGCGACATCAAACGTTGAATTACTGGGTCACCCGCCGTATAGCCCCGACCTCGCGCCTTGTGATTTTTATTTATTTCCAAAAATTAAAGAAAAACTTAAAGGAAAGCGGTTTATGAATGCTGAAGAAGCGGTGGCTGCGTATCGCGATGCGCGATATTTTGAAAAGATATAATAAAACTAATAACTGGCTAATGTAATCAGTTTTTGATTTTCTAAGAACTTTCAGTTTGACCCTCGTATTATTAGTCAATCACTTAGTTGGAATCCTTATACATTTTCATACATTTTTAAGACATACCAGAATATACATTACCATGCCTTAACAATTAACTTTAAACAGATTTATTTTTATGTAGAACTTTTTATGCATAATTTAAATAAATTTTGATATAATTTTAAGACAAGAAAACATCTTTATATTTCCTAAATATTTTGTGTGAATTAGTTAAATTAAAATAGACACCTAATGATACATTTTACATCACCCCAGTACATTACCTCTTCATGCCTCATCATATGAGTTTGATATGTGTCTTTGAATAAAAATCCTAAACCACAATTCGAACATTTGAATTCCGATTCTATATACTTTTTGATTCGTCTATTACTTTCTAATTCAGATTTCTGCTCTTCTACACTCAAAACTATCTTCTCAAATTTTCTATTTATTTTATTTGCTTTAGATTTCTTCTTTTTCTTCTGTACCACCACCTGTGACTGATCTTGATCAGTTTTAAAATTCACTATTGAATCATTATCACTTTGAATGTTATCTAAATCCTCTGCTATATTATCAACATCGTTAATTTCATTGTTTAATTCTTCATCACATATTTCATCATTGTTTAATGATCGTTCACTAGCCGATTTGTGATCATCATAATTAAACCTACGATCTACACTTTGAATATCATGAATAACCTCTGAAACTAATTTTTCATTACAAACACCAATTTCTTGATTATATATATCATCGAATTCTCTATCTTCATACAGCTCTACATATTTATTTGCTTCTTGTTCTTTTTCAGTGGTATCAAAGTCTTCATTGAAGTAGTTGATCTGATAAAATTTCGAATTTAAATTGCGACTTTTGTAATGTTCGCAGGATTCATCAACGCAAATCGTGTGGAATTCTAGATAATTTCTTTGGAGATTCAATGTTCCTTTTTCACTGTAATAAAAAATATGGAAAATGTTATATACATAAATGAATATATCGGTTCGATTCCAAAGTAGTGAAATGACTATGATACAATTACAAAAACATGAGCAACAAAGTAATGAAAAAGAAAGCAATGGAAGAAAAATTATATTCTTGATTAAACTCTCAACTTTCAAATAAGCTTTTGATAATGTATGAAATAACATAAATACTAGCAAAATACTACTAAATGTTTTCATATGCATACGCATTTATTATTTACGTTATATAGGAACTCAGAATCAAATGAGTTTATAATTTACTTGTAGTGTAGGTTAAATAATATCAAAGCTGTGTACCACAAGGGTGACATCTGTGGCCTATATTTTACTTTAGAATAATTACTAATTGCGGGATTGTTACCACGTACGCTTGTAACAGCGCCGAAATATCGAAAACGATACATGATAGCAATCCCGCAATTAATATTTATTTTAATGTTAATGACCATGAAACTTAAAAAAGTATATTACGATTTATTTATGTGTTTACTGACATTTCACCGATAAAATATACATTCTCTATCTATCATTAATACATCCTTTCATTTGATTCTATTAACAAGAAAGGTCTGAGACACAAGGGTTGTCTGGAAGAGATTGCTTTTAGCGATAAGACCGCATTAACTCACTAAAAAAATTAAGAAATTTACTGTTAACTTTTCATTTGAGTATGAGCAATAGACTTCATCTATCTTTCTATCTATTACATGACTTCGCCTATCTGGGTAGTCATGTAATGTATGGGCGGTCTCTAGGTCTCTATGTACTTGTGCCTTCTCACCAGGGACCACAGAGTTAAGAGGGGAGGCAGAGGTGATGATGACTCATACCTGAACAGTACAGGATATTCCAGACTCCTCTTCAGGCAGACCGAACGAAACAACCACAGCCTGTTTAGGACATGGCAGCAGATGTGACAGAGATGGGAGTCCGGGGACAACTGTGAAAAACAATTTGTTATTTGGATAAGATATAAATAAATATAGAGGTGCCCGATAATTAGTTTTATAGTAAAAACATATTGTTGTACTGGTTTATCTTAGATTTCTTTTTTATATTCAAATATTTCACATATTCAATATAGATTATGCTGTGTACACATACTTAGGTTTATTATCAAATCAAGAAACTATTATACTCCTATGTATGTTAAGACTGTAAACTTTTCTGTGTACCTAATAAATAAATATGCTGTTCATGAGCTTAGGATGGAAAGAATACAAAAACGCTGTCTGAGAAGTTTGGCAGGGCGGGTTGGGATATCCTATAGACATTATTCTTATATGGAGAGCCTCAAAAGATTTAAAATGACACCCTTAAATATCCGAGGCAATGTCCTTGACTTAATTTTTTTATATGGCTTAATCAGGAATGAAATTGATTGCTCCGGGTTGCTTAGTAAGTTTAGGCTCAGGATACCGTTAAGGTATCCTTGCTCGTCTGTCAAGTTGTTCTCTCTTCCAAGACGTCGTACTAACTTGGGATTTAACTCACCCGTTTTACGTTTGAGTCGATTATACAATAGTATTAGTAATATAACTGACATAAATTGGTTGTCAAAGAATAAATTCAGAGAAATACTGTATAATTATTTTATTAATTAAGATAGATATAATGTAGTTGATATACTGTGTCTTTATAAATAGATTAAGATGTTGGATTGGATGCAGTATTTACCTATAATTGTCTTTGCATTTACTAAGTTGTATTATAAGATTTACTTTTTCTGTATTCTGTATAAATGTTTAAGATGTTGGTAAATAAATAAATAAAATAAAAATAAAAAAATTAAAAAGAATAATACAATAATAGCCTCTGTTCTAATTTCCTAAATACTTGATACTAGTACTTCTTAAATTACATGATTTCTGACCCTACACTAAAGCATTAGAGGTTATGTTTATATGTATGACCATGCATACATGTAAATATGACCTAGCAGGGTTCGATGTATTGAGATAATTATATTTTTGGATAATTATTATATAAATATCTGATAACTATCCGTAGTTACTGCCAACAATTTTTTTAACACATAATAATCATAATAATTAATTTATTTCTTTCACAAACTTAATCTACGTACATACAAAAACAAGAAACCAAATTGTATAGTTTGTAATAAACATATAAATGAGTACTTTATTTTTTTTTGTTTTTGTAGGTCCATCATAGACAATTTTCTCTATCTGAAAAACCATATTTTATCAAATCAAAATCATTTTTTCAATTTAGGTTATGCATTTGTGACAGTCAAAAACTGCACCAATGGTTTGCAAAACTACCGCAAGAGACCTTGTACTGAGAAGCACCAGCAAGAAGCTCAGCAAGGGCTGCCTTTTTATCCAATTTATTTGTTTTAAAGTTGTTTAATAACAAGTCCTAAAGTACAAAAAATATAATTATCACTCCGAACCCCGTCCTCCGAATCCTAGTACATAATTCCTCAATTTTTTTACTTTTACGCTACAGAATAAGTTTCCATAGGTATACCTATAAATATACAATATAAGGTTTTTTTTTAAAAAAGTTTCTTACATCAATACAAGCACTCTCTTATTTCATAAATTGAAAATATGTTACGAACATTTATACCAACGACTTCTCTATATTTTTCACGTGTTTCCTCATTGGTATCAGCATTCACTGTACTATGACATATAAAACAAAAAAAGGAAGACATGTTTTATACAATTTGCTACTTGCTTTCATCAATTACTAGTTTTTTATACATCTTCTTTTATAAATGGCTTATCTGCGCATTTCGCACAATTATGCCAATGTCAAGTGAATAATTAATTTGTACACGTAAGATGAAAATGAAAGATCTATATATCCTATGATTATATTTGTAGCACCTAGCTTTATAAACAATATTTGGGAATTAACAATGAAAACAACAAACAAACTTGACAGTAGTAGTCACAGATCATTATAAACTAGTCCTACAGACTCTTAAATAAGTCTGAAATAGAAAACGCAGAGACCTACTTACCCCGTATGAACTCATACCGATTCGTAAATAATCGATATAATAAATGGTATCACTAGAGCAAAACTGTCATGCATGAGTGTCAGAACATGGTCTGTGAACAAAAAAAATCTATCCATCCATCCGTCATTACCGTCACGTCAGATTATGTGGAAAAAAAGGATAAATTCGGTGCCTTGAAGCACAAATCCTATTGGAAATAGTGATTTTTATCTATATCTGTTAGGACTGTCACAAGTTAATACAATAAACTGTATCTTTAAATCAAACAGTACAGTGTGCGTAAAGTTGAGATACTTGAACAAATAGCTGCTAAACAGCCACAAATTGGACTGAAGGACTATTAATTGAAGTGGTCAGTGCTGCCTGATTATTCCGTAATGCGTGCTACAATTTGATGTTGGCTTGAAGTCTTGAATATTGTTGTATTCCAATTTATCGGAATTTAATTTGACCCGTTGCCTGATTATGTTTCGCAACGCGCTACGCCGGCTGTTTCGAGTTTCCCTTTTCGTTTAGTGATAAAAAGTAAAGGTTCATGAACGATTGCCCGGAAGAAATTACCTTTGACTGTAAGTATAAAAAAGTTATTTTAAAATAAATTAAAAATAAAATGAATATCATAGTAATAGTGTAGGTATGTATGTGCAGACATTATAATTGAATTACGTTACAAAAATAGGGCACAGTTCTAAAAGTTATTGCATCTAATAAGAATCCTATTAGTATATAGTTTTAGATGTCAAGCATTGTTGTTTTGTAGTGTAGAATATAATAAGCATTTCTAAGGGTTTATAAAAATATTTGCAGATATAAAAAATCAAACTTTACTGTAAAAAAACAATTTTTAAACAGTAGTTGACACATGTTTCAGACATACTGACACTACTAGTGTATTATGAAAAAAATTAACTCAAAAACTAATTAAATGATGCTAAAATTTATGAACTAAAATAAACTTCACGAATAAATGATTTAGATCAGTTATAGTCAAATATTTACACAATTAAAAGTGTTTAAATCAAATTCACTTTTATGTCTGAAAATAGATTTTTATAGCAAATCAAGAGATGCTTTGATGTAAATTGTTGTTTACAGTACTTTGTTTATCTTATAAGTATATTTTTGTGATAAATAGTGCTGAAATACTCATAGTTGCTATCTCTTATACCATTTATTAAAACTAAAAAGTATATATTATAAACATCATTATATTCCTGTATACTATATTATAAGAATTTTACTTCAATCAATCGATTATTTATTTCATAAAATATGGTGCGGCTACAACTGATGTCATAAAATAAGAGTATCACATATTTACTGTATAACAGTGTGCAATAGTTTTAGTATGTAATATATTATTAGTTTTAATTTTTTTTTTTTTAATTTACATTATAATCTTTTTACGCATTAACCTTAATATTATTTTATTCACACATAATTGACTCAAAACATTAGCTACAGTTCCTATTACATCTTATTTCAGTCTTATAATTTAAAAATATTAAATAGCATTTTTTTTTTATAAGTAAATCAATTTACATGCTACAATAACAATAAATCAAGTATGCTTAATGTATAAATCCATATCAATTATAAAATAATTTTATCATACACATAAAATATATCATTTTATATAATATAGCGTAAAATAACTAATATGACTTCTGTGATATAATATCACATTACATCCTTTATTAATTTAATAGTGAAAATTTTAAATACAAAGATTTTTTTCTAAATAAATTTAGCTATGTTTTGATGAACTCAGTATTTTTATCAATAGTAATAATGCTTTTTTTTGACAAGCAAAATTGTTTTGGAGTCAAGAACTATGATTACAATAGAATAAATAAAATTAATATACCTATGTACAACATCTAAATTACAGTAATGTTACATTATATTTTAGCTAATGAAATATTGGGACTCATATAATAATAGACTATGAGATAGCTGTCTGCGCCGTTTATTATAAATATATATATATTATTACTATTACATTACACGCATCACAACATACAATATAAAAACTATACAAATAACTCAAACGGTAGATAATAAAACCTCTTTTAAAATTCCACCCGCCCAATATAAAAAAAAAAGAAGATCTCTCTCTCTGTCATGGTGTCAACGCGAAAATACGTTATAAAATACGCTCCTCTCGAAATTAAACCGCTGTGTTAATATCTCACCAAAAATAAACTGTGCTCAAAATAGTGTTGAGTGTGTGAACTATTTTTTATATAATAATAAGAATTCAAGAAAAAGGAGTACGACCGAAACCTATGGAAAATAACTATGTAAGTCCACTAATTTTCAGATTTCAATCATTGGAAATCCTCCATTGATTTTGTTCCTCACGACCCGGATACTGATCCTGACGGTCGAACCCTTTTCTTTCATTATCTATCGCATAATAAAAAACTCATTTACTGCACAATTCACACGCTCAATACAAATACGCAAAACCGCCGCCATTACATGCAATTGCTCACGCTGTGAAAAACATCGTTTCAAATTTTCTATATCTACATCTCGTTCTATATCTATAAAACGCATTTAATATTTATAATACGCATATTTGTCTATTACACTTCGCTCATATTTTTATTTTCACATTCACGATTTATCAACGCATAATAACCGCATATTATTTCAACGCACACACACGCAAATACATTTATTGATAAGCATTTTTAAAGAATAAAAATGACTACTCTCCGCAAAAAGAAAGGTTCTAGTGATGAAGAATATCAGGATGTCGCGACTAATTCTAAGGTTCTACTATTAGAGTCTAAGAAAAATAGTCTCTTTGAAATAATTCAAAATATTTATGACCTCAGTCTAAAGGTTTCCGATCCTCAAATTAAATCTCAATTTCTATCGCGGATATACTCATTAGATCAGATTCGTTCTAGCTTTATGGAAACATTAGATGATTGGATTTTAGCCCAACTCGAAAGCGATCCGTTGTCAAAGCCGAACTACACCGCGTTACACTCGTTTGACGAATTATACTGTTGTATAAAACATACGGCTTCAACGCTCACGCAAAACAAATCATCCAGTAACAGTGACAATAATAAATTTGATTTATTGAACAGAAAATTACCACCTCTTAAATTAGTATCGTTTGATGGTGCACTAAGTAACTGGTCGATATTTTATGAAAATTTCAAAAGCCTTATTCATGATAATTTGCATCTTACTGAGGCCGAGAAGGTCCAATATTTAATTGGTTGTTTATCAGGCAAAGCGTTAACGGTTTGTTCAGGAATTACGCCCACTGCTGATAATTATTTAATTCTATGGAACGCACTTCTTGAAAAATATCAAGACACTCGAGTACAAGCTGCAATTTATATAGATCAAATGTTGAATTTCAAACCATTTCAGTCAATCGACACTTTTATAGAACAGTTTTATTCAGCAGAGGCCGCTTTAAAACGTCTAAATATCGATGATCTGTCTGATTTCATTATTACACATATTGCACTTAGTAAGCTAGATAAAGACATCGTATCTTTATTTGAGCAATCATATAGGCATATTAAAATTCCCACTTTCGAGCTTCTTTCTACATTTTTAAAAGAACAAAGTAAAATTCAAACGCTTCGCAATTCTAATTCGTATGCAAGACCTAATTTGTCTCGCAACGCTAATAATTCAACTACTTACAATTATAAAAATAAAGGCTCACCTAAGTCTAAAAATACTCTTTCTTTTTTTACAAATACTCATACTCCGCAAACGCAACAATGGCCATGCAAAGTATGCAACGCTCCTTATTCGCACCCGCTTTATAAATGTTCTCTTTTTATTAATTCAGATGCTCAGTCTCGAAACGCATTAGTAAATAAATATAATTTCTGTCATAATTGCCTCGGTTATCACTCTGTTAAATTTTGCAAGTCGTTAAATACTTGTAACATTTGTCAACGCAAACATCATACATTATTACATTTAGATAATAATATTCGCAATAGATTTGAACCTAGGTCTGCCACTCACGCACCACTGAACCATCGTGGTTACTCTGCGTCCGCGCCTTCGCAGCCGAGCGGACCACGCGCCGCGCCGCAGTCTACAGAGCATTCGTCGTCGCTCCCCGGTCCCACCAGTATACCTACCTTAGTCGAGCCGTTGGTACGCGACTCTAATATAATTACTACGTGTTCACGCGTAGAATTAAATGCAGCAACTAATAACGTGAATAATATTGATAATGATACAACCGTATTGTTACCTACCGCTTCTGTTTTTGTTTATAAAAATAATAAACCTGTTTTTGTTCGTGCTTTTCTAGATACGGGTTCTATGAGCCATTTTATTTCCAAAGCATGTTGTGATAGATTAAATTTAAAAATTACGCCTGATGACTCGATCATTTCTGGTATAGGTCAGTCACAAATTCCTTCACTCGGTTTTACAATTTTTAAAATTTATTCTCGTTTTGATTTCCGTTGTTCGTATGTTATTCGCGCTCGTGTTATTGATAAAATCACAAACGGATTGCCTAGATGTCCTATTGATATTTCTAAACTTGCTCATTTGCATAACTTACCTATGGCGGATGATCAGTTTCATATCCCTGCTGATATTGATTGTCTTCTTGGTAATGAGTTGTTTCCTTTTCTATTAGGTAATAGAAAGGTTAGTATACCGAACTCATCAGTCGTTGCTGTTCAGACTACACTCGGTTACATCGCTATGGGTAGGGCACATTGTGATCCCTTGTCTTTTTCTCGCGCGTGTTACTCAAAAAATACTAACTCGCAATCAGAACAATTATTTTTCTGTGAAACGAATTCTCACTCCTTAGAAACTCTCACTCAACGTTTTTGGGAACTCGAAAATGTCCCTAATAAAACTCATATGAGCCCTGATGATCAGGCTTGTGAATTATTATTCACTTCTACATATTCTCGCGATGATACAGGTAG